GGATTTAAGCCCAAGGATAACTAAGGTGGCATAGGATGGTAAACCCAAAGCAGAGGGTGGTTTGGGGTTTAAAAACCTTCGGGTGGCAAATGAGGTCAGCATTTTGAAGCTTCTCTGGCGAGTTCTTACTACACAAACTTCTTTATGGGTTCGGTGGTCCCGTATGAATCTTATTCGTAACTCCTCGATATGGCTCCTCCCTGATGTTATGGGAAATTGAGCTGGATCTTGGATGTGGAAACAATTGTTAAAGAAGAGACAGCAGATTGCTCCTTTCCTCAAAACGGATATTGGTAATGGGCAAAGTACTCTGTTTTGGTTGGAGAACTGGTCATCGATGGGTCCTCTGTTACAACTGGTTGGAGCGAGGGGTCTCATCGATTTTGGAATCCCAAAGGAGGCAGTTGTTGAAGATGTAATTCTCCGGCGTCGGCGTCGCAGACATAGACTTCCTATGCTAAACAAGGTGGAAGATGAGATTGAGTCAGTTAGAAGGAGATATCGAGTTGACAAGGATGACATGCTCTGTTGGAAAGTGAGTGAAACAGTGTATAAAATTACCTTCAAAACTCGCTTAGTAACAGAGCAATTACGACAAGTTTCGCTGAAGGTGCTGTAGGAACTTGGAATCTGGTTTCGGCACAATATCCCAAAGTTTAGCTTCATAGCCTGGCTTGCTATACGAAATCGGCTGGCAACTGGTGAGCGTATGCAAGCATGGAACACAAATATCTCTGCAGAGTATGTTTTTTGTCGTGATCCCTGGGAAATGCGCGATCATCTGTTCTTTTCCTGCCCGTATTCGAGAATGGTCTGGAAAAAACTGGCTTTAGGAATGTTACTCCGGGACTACTCTTGTCGTTTTGATTTCACAATCTTAGCAGCACAGGATGAGAGGGTTTCTTATTAAGTATCTGTTTCAAACAGTCATTTATGCACTCTGGAGGGAGCGCAACGATAGTCGTCATGGTTCTTTACCTAAATCGGTGGAACAAAAGATAAATCTCATCGACAAAGGGATCAGAAATAGATTCAGTTCCATCTGAAGCTTAGGAGACCAGCAGTATGAGGAAGAAATGCAGCTATGGCTTGCATCGAGACAGCCAAATTGACTCACGAAGAAGACAACCAGATCTTTGGATTTTAATGATGTATTTACTTATATGCTCGCATGAATTCATGTAAAAACAATTTTTTTTTTTCGGTTGGAATGAATTTAATATTCATTCAAAAAAAAAATAGCACCACCCAAAAAAAAGGAGAAGGGGCACCGAAAATTAGATTTATTCTTAAGCAGAAAAGAAAATTAGGTTTCTTATCAATCGAATTGTACGTAAATGATAATTAACTTCGTCTGAGGTTAATAAACCATATATTAACAAATATTCTCACGCAGACATGTACAGGTATATTTCGTGTGAAGCTCTGTATACGTAAGAGAAATATGATGCATGCCTGATGCCTCCAAGCTAGTGTCTAATTTGTTTATTAGGAATAATTCAGTTCTTGAATAGAGATGTCATTATTAAATTATTTAGCAAAACAAATAGACAGCGAGGTGGAGAACATGCATTGAGAATCAAATTGAATGCAAATGTACGTAACGAGTTTACGTGAATTTCCATGTACAATTCCCATGCACTCAAACCTTTGTATATAAACCCCTCCAAGTTCATCATTTCATCATCACCCATCTATCAACGAAAGCAAAACAAAATCTAGAAACTATAGAAGAAAACAAAATACAAATCTCTCAACCATGGCCATTCCAAAAGCTCACTACTCATTAGCCGTCCTTGTCATTCTCTTTGTCGTTTCGAGTTGCCAAAATGTCTGCAATCCAGGATGTAAGGCTAAAGAACCTTTCAACTGTGACAATATTCGTACATTCAACCGATCTGGATTCCCAAAGAATTTCACTTTTGGTGCGGCTACTTCTGCATACCAGGTATATATATATATATATATATATATATATATATCATATATGGCTTTTGGCCATCGATTTCTAGCTATGCCGGCTCACTTTCATAAAAATTTCTAATATGATTTTGTTTATTCTACCAGATTGAGGGTGCTGCACATAGAGCACTCAATGGATGGGACTATTTCACTCATCGATATCCAGGTCATTAATTATCCGTATTATATATTAATTAATTAATTACATGCCCTTCCATGTATGAGAAAGTGTACAAATATTAGAAAAAAATAACTGGTCATGCTCATATATATTCCTGATCTACTATGTACAGAAAAAGTCCCAGATGGTAGTTCTGGAGACCTTGCTTGTGATTCGTATGATCTTTACAAGGTGAGAGGCTTTCGATGATGAATCTATTGTGTGTGTAATATATGTTTTTTGGTTACATTTTCGAAATGTAGTTTAACTCGGAAACTTTCGTATACGACTTTAACAGGAGGATGTCAAATTACTGAAAAGAATGAATGCTCAAGCATACCGACTCTCCATAGCATGGTCAAGGGTCTTACCAAGTAAATGCATAAGAAAAAAGAAAACATACTTAATTAATAATCTCCTTTTTTCTTCATGATGACTTGATCTTGTTGGCAAAAAAATTCGTAAAATCATACAATATTCTATTACTCAAACTTGTGATTATATGCTACTTTTAGAGGGGAGACTGACCGGAGGAATCGACGAGAATGGTATAACATACTACAACAATCTCATTAACGAGTTAAAGGCAAATGGTAAATTTCTAATTAATTTAGATACTTAACCATATGATTCTAATCATTTTTACGTGTACAGACAATTAACTTACGTGAATACAGGCATAGAACCGTATGTGACTATATTTCACTGGGATGTTCCCCAAACTCTAGAAGACGAATACGGAGGCTTCTTAAGCCCACGTATAGTGTAAGTACAGTAACAAAAACAAATTTAAACTTGTGTCTTCTTTTCCTTAATAAGGTTATACATGTACATCATCTGATCTATCTATATCTAATATTTATGATACATGAACAGCGAAGACTACAAAAACTACGCAGAACTTTTATTCCAAAGATTCGGAGATAGAGTCAAATTTTGGATCACTTTAAACCAGCCTTACTCACTTGCAAGCAAAGGTTATGGAGATGGATCATATCCACCAGGGCGGTGCACTGACTGTGAATTTGGAGGAGATTCAGGAACCGAACCTTATATAGTTGCACATCACCAGCTTCTAGCTCATGCAGAAGCTGTATCTTTATACCGAAGAAGATATCAGGTTCATATACACAACTTATCATATGCTTATTCTCAGATCGATAGAGATGATTTGTTTTTTACATGGTATGTTTGTAGTCTATAATTAAAAACTTTTAATTTATGCATGCAGAGATTCCAAGGTGGTAAAATTGGAACGACCCTGATCGGAAGATGGTTCACTCCATTAAACGAAACTAGCATTCTTGACAAGGCTGCTGCAAAACGAGCATTCGATTTCTTCGTCGGATGGTACATATATATTCTCAACAATTTGATTCTCTAATCATTTATATATACACTCATTATTTATATATAGAGTTTATGTTATAAAACCTTTGTAATCAACATACTTTGCAACATGAAGGTTCTTGGATCCATTGGTGTACGGAGACTATCCAAGGATAATGAAAACGATCGTTGGAGATAGATTGCCTAAATTCACACGTCAAGAATCAGCTTTAGTTAAAGGATCACTTGATTTTCTAGGGCTGAACTATTACGTTACACAATATGCGACCGATGCACCTCCTTCTATTCCGACTCAACCTAATGTCTTAACCGATCCACGGGTTACTATTGGATGTACGTAAAAATTTATGTCCTCTTACGTATCTAAAACATATATTAATTTTCTAAACCCACTTTTCTTCAATATATTGGTTACAGTTTATCGCAATGGAGTACCTATTGGTGTTCAGGTTAGCAGCATCGACTTTAATTTGGTATATTCATTAATACATTTGGAAAACTACAACATTTATATGAGTCTCTCTCTCCATCTACAGGCACCAAGCTTCGTCTACTATCCTCCAGGGTTCCGCCAGATTCTAAATTACATCAAAAACAAATATAAAAACCCACTTACCTACATCACCGAAAACGGTATTACACATATCATACCATATATATATGCTTATTAATGTAAATGAACCTTTAATGCATGTGTGTTTGACTATACAATCTTGTATTATAATTTTTCAGGAGTTGCTGATCTTGATTTGGGAAACTTAACGCTGGCAAATGCTCTTGCCGATAAAGGACGAATTCAAAATCATTGCAGCCATCTTTCTTGTCTCAAATGCTCCATCGAGTGAGTTATAATATCTCATATCCATATACTTCTTTTGACAAGTACCAATTTTAACACGTCAACTTTTTAAAAATATATATTATAGGGATGGATGCAATGTAGCAGGATATTTTGCATGGTCATTGATGGACAATTACGAATTCGGAAATGGTTATACCCTCCGGTTTGGTATGAATTGGGTCAATTTCACTAATCCTGCTGATCGAAGAGAAAAAGCTTCTGGCAAATGGTTCTCTAAATTTATCGGTAACAACAATAATTAAAGGGAAGTGATATATATATAAATCAAATTCCTTGAATCTAATAACGATGTATATGTAATTTTTTTTTTAGTAAATTAAAGGGAAGTGATATATATATAAATCAAATTCCTTGAATCTAATAACGATGTATAAGTAATTTTATTTTATAATCAAACTTAAGTTAATGTGGTTGTGTTTGTGTTGTTAGTATTGTTGTAATAATCGGACCTTAATCCTCGGTCAATTCAATAAATTACTTATATGTAGCTTGTATTGTTCTTTTTTTTTTTTATATACACTTGCCAATGTTGCCAAGCATAACTTCTAAAAAAATGGTTAACGTACTAGCTCTATAGTTTGATATCATTACCACGTTTGCGTAATTGCGTAACAAAATATTCAAGCAATGATGTAATGGCTAATTCAAGGCAAAGTAAAATCATTCTGTAACATTCAGAATAGTATGTTGATTCTCCAAAAATAACAATGCTGAAATCATAGAATCATCAGGTGCTGATACATATTGATAAATGTTGAAACTATTGTATGTGCAAATCAAATCAAGAAACAAAGTGTATACACATATACAGATATAATCTTTAATTGATTGGAGAAGTAAGACCTTCTTGAGAAGAAAGTGAATGTAGAGGTTGATGTCTCCTAGAAGATATAGAAGATAGTGATGGGACTTTCCTAAACGAAGGTCTTTTGTTGAGACTCTTCATCGTTCTCTTTGCTTGTAACGCCTTCAAAGCCGGCTCTGCTCTCTCCTTGAGCTTCAAAACTATGAAGAAGAGAATGCGGTAACACACAAGGATCAACACGATCGCTGCTAAGTCCCACCACTTCGAATGTGTGACTTTAACTCCAAATATCTTTCTTATCACTTCCTCTCCAGTCATCTTGGGTTCTCCCGCGAACATAGGTTCAAACTCTAGGCCAAGAAAATCGTTCTTGTATGCTCCCTGCATAGATTCATATTATATACAGGCTAAGACTCTAGGCATAGATTCATAGTATATAAAGGCTAAAACGCCAGATAAAGCAAAGAAAGTACCTGAATTGCCCAAGAACCATAACTCATGAAGGAAATAGGGTAGCGCCAGAAAATCTTTGGAAGATCAGGAAGCAGACGGAAGAATCCAGAAGTCATCATGATGATTCCCTGCCAAAAAAAGAAGAAGCAAGAGTTGCGTTTAGATACATAAAAAAACCTTAAAACTCCATTTATAAGCTTATGGGCTTCTTGTGAAGAAGAAAAAGAAAAAAACAGAGGATTACAAAAACAGAGGAATCTTGAAACAGAGAAAATGTGTTTTGCTTACAATGATACCAGCTCCTGTAATGAGACCCATCAAGAAATTTGGAACAAGAGAAGCCACAACCATCATGAGACTCTCAATGACTGAGACAGAGAAGAATATGTTGAGACAGAAAAAGGCCCAATGCGAGAACCCTGGACGGAATTTCACCATGTTGTAAGTAATACTCCCTGTGATGACGGAGATCGCTACCAAGAACGGGAAAGAAGAGACATAGTTTGATATAATATAAACCGAGACGCCATAGTAACCACTCAATCTCTCTTTATAGAACACTTTCATCTCTTCAATGAAAGAAGGAAACCCTCCAATGGACATGAAAGTCATGAAACCGGTAATGAATCCACCACAAGAAACCCTAGCCAAGATCGATGTGTAGCTGTGTCCTACATCGTAAAAGATTGTCCCAACACAGATCGATACCACGATGTATATCACAATTCTTGACCAGTAGTATCCAACATCGCGGCACATGTTCACAAACGACCTCTTTGTCAAAGTACTTAGCTGTTTAAACCAGCTCGCTTCACTTCCCTTTCTCACTTCCATCTCATGATCTCCTACCTGTAATAGAAAAACAGAATACAGAACAGAGAAATCTTCAATACACACACACTTGTCTGGATTCTTGAACGTGTGGGACAGAGAAGAGATTGCTTACAATGCTAGCAAATTCACGGATCCGAGATTTTGCAGATTTGGCGTAGATTGAACGACGGTAATTCTCAACAAGCCTAGCTTTGATCTCAGATGTTGCTAGATTCATCAAAGGATCTGATGTAGCTGGTGTCTCCTGCAATAAAGATGAATTCTTGATTCAAAAGACTCTAAGAACATTTTCTCAACAAAGTGTAAAGATTTGGAATTCTCACCCGCATCCTCTGAGATCCTTTGAGTGTAGCTGTAACTGTATCAAAATCAGAGTTTATACATCTAAGGAAATGATCAGAAGGATTCCGTTTCTTAGGGCAAGGAAAACCCGCTTCAGCAAAGAACTGCATCAACAAAATTAGCGTTTAGAGCGGTCAGACAAACGCGATTCTTGAAACCCTACACAAAAAGATGTCACTTTTTTTTACCTCAACAGCAAACTTGGTTTCACCAAAGTAAACAGTCTCACCACCAGAGAGCAAGAAAAGATCATCAAAGAGAGCGAAAACTTCGCTACTAGGTTGATGAATCGATGACACAACGGTTCTAGCTCCCTCTCGAGCGATGTTCCTAAGCGCTTGAATCACAAAGAAAGCAGAAGCACTGTCCAAACCACTTGTGGGTTCGTCAAGAAACAGAATCTGCGGTCGCGTTAAGATCTCTAACGCAACGCTGAGGCGTTTCCTCTCGCCGCCACTCACTCCTCTGGAGTGCCAATTACCTATGACTCTGTCTGCACAATCTTGAAGACCAAGCTCCATGATTGTGCCTTCGACAATGTCGTTGACTTCTTCTTTGGTCAAATCACTTGAAAGCCTTAGATGAGCTGAGTACGTTATTGTCTCCCTCACCGTTAGTGTTCCCATCAAAATGTCCTCTTGTGTTACATAAGCCTATTCATAATTTTTAAGTAAACAAAGTTTAAAGACAACAAAACTTTAAAATTAAAATTTGATTATGATCAATATTTGATGATCGGATAATTTTACTTACGACGAGGCCGTAGTCTAATCTTGCCTTCTTTCCGTTCAATAGAAGATTACCGGTCATAATCACGTTTCTTGCAAGTCTACCTATATATGTGGGATAATTCAGAACAATTAAAATTGGAGTTAAGATCTGATTTTTTCTTTATTATTCTTATATCACGAATAAGAACCAATTCGGGCCTTTAACAAAAAAAAAAGAACCAATTAGGGCTTTGAATTATGAGTGTGACACTAGGACCAAGAATTATGAGCGACTTAAAACCAAGAACTCATATATATCTTCTTCTTTTTTGTCAGTTTTGTGAGTGACTTAAAAACTCTTAAAAACTAGAATTAACTAAGAGGATGTTATTAAACAGAATATAGATGTGAAACAAAACAAAAAAAAAACAGTGATAAAATAGTAAAATTAAGAAAACCAATTAAAAGAGAGTAGAATTTGTAAAAATGTTTATTAGTCTCTCTAATCAAATAATTCTCACTCTCTCAAATTACAAAAAAAAAAAAAAAAACCAACCTGCGAGTGTATCAAGAAGCGTGGACTTGCCGGATCCGGAAGGACCCATAATGGCCATGATTCGACCCGGTTCAGCATACCCGTTGAGTCCATCGAGTAACCGTCGAGTCGGACCACCACTAAAGTTTGGTATAACCACCGTTAAATCTTCCCACGCCAAGTACGCTCCACGTCCAATCTCCGGCGGCGGCGGCGGAGGAGGAGGAGGACGACGAGAAGGCCGGCCATTGCTCGTACTCTCTAATTCCATTTGTGTTTGATCTCGAATAAGAACTTAGAGAGAGAGGAGAGAGATAGACTTTTGTTCTTCTTCTAAGTTTTTTGTTTTATTTGTTGGAGAATGAATTATAAAGATGGAGAGATTAATCATGTAGGTCTAAAAGAATTTTCTTAGGTGATAGCAACAATCAACAAACAACTAATCACATTTAATGGTTGGCTTTAATATGATAACCATATATGTATACACGTATAGAATATAGTTTTTCTTCATGAAGAAAACCACCCACTTATTGACATATACTTATGAATATAAAGTATAAAATACTTGTTGTGTGTCGGTTCTTGACAATAAATGTTGCCTAACAAGATATTCCGACACCGAGAGCAAAATATATTTTTGTGAAATGAAATCTAACCATGCGATTGTTTTCGATTGATCTGAAACAAATAGCTAGCTACGGCAATTAAGGAAGTCTTAAATGGATGGTTATTAATTTACCCAGCGGACTGATAATGATAGTTTGGTATATAAAATAATGCAATACAAAACAAAAACAAACAAAAAAAGGAGAAATTCCTGAAACCTATGAAACTCTGTGATAACTTTCCTTACAAATTGTCCTTGTCACTTCAAATTTTATTTTTTCATTAAAATTATCGTCTGTTTACACAAAACATTATCGTTTGTTCACACATAGCATTATCGTTTGTTATCTTAGTTTTGTAACTAAAAGCTATAGAAATGTGATATTTTGATTATCAAAGAAAATTTGCTAGATTAGACTAATTCTAAATACTTTATTGAGATTATCTTATATATAAAATTTGACCAACTTTCTCCAGCTGCTTGCCACATCAGCACTGAAGAAAGCGCCACCTGTCCATTTAAAATCTTAATGAAATAAACAATTAATCATATTTAAAGAAAAAGCATTAAAGAACATAAATAAATATTAATATGTATAACAAATATATTTAAATAAATAAATTCAAATTTATTTTAAATATATCAAAACTTATAAATATTATATAATATAAGATTTTTTGAAATACATCATTCCATTTCTTCTTTCTAAGTGATTTAAACTACATTTTCAAACTAAAAGTATAATTAAATTTTTATGAAAGTGAAAAAAATTATCAGACTGAATAAGTTAAGAAGTTTTAAATAATCGTATATAAAACTCTAACTAATAAAATTATAACACACAAAAAATATTCAATAAATGATTAAAGAAATAAAAAATTATTAAAAAATAATAGTAAAAAAAAGTGGATATATAAAAATGTCATACAAAGTTTTTTTAGTAATTTTTAAAAAGATGTAATCAATAAAATATATATAACCAAAAAACTCAAATGGTAAATTTTTCTATGAGCTATTACGTTTTTATATATAAATTAAAATGGTAGATTTTTAATCCCTCATTACCGTAGGAGAAAAATTGGATTATTTGGTACAACCGGTGTGGAAGAGATTACAAATAATTTATCACCTAGAAGAAATCAGAAAATATAAATATTTTAAAAGAAAAGAATATTAATGGTAAAAATAAAATTTAATACAAATTCTAAAAATGTATTATTTAAAATATAAATTAAAACAAGATCCGCGTATATGCGCGGTTTCTTTCCTAATTCTTATATGAAAGTTAAATAAAGAGAATTAAGATAATGATAATTTGATGAAATGAAAAGAAAGAGAAGCACACAAGTCACAAGTTCACAACAAGTCCTTCACAGGTGTTAAATGAAAAGGGAAAGGAATTAAATGCGTGGTAGTTGGCACCGATATAGTTATTTATAGGTCATTATTTTCTTTTTTGGTCTGTCCATTTATTATTTTCATGATTTATGGTTATCTTTAACTTGGTGTGTAACTAGGTCTAACTACATTTTTTTAGTATCTAACACAAACATAAATTATAGGTCTATTACTACTTCCTAACACTATCTAATATTATTAAGTGTATTGTGTCCTTGGTTTCTTAAGATGAAAAAAAAAACTTGTACTATTCTAATTTAGCAGCTACATTTCACAAACTTTTGGTAGATATCTAGAGTACGATTTATATATACTTTTTGAAATAAAAACCGTAATAAAAGTTTCCAGAAAAGAGATAGACACCCAGATTCTAAATTCAACTGAATCTAAGGTATAGTCTTATCAAACAAACCCTTATTAAAGTTCCTATTTTACGAATATACATTATTAAAAAAAGTAAAACATTTTACTTTTGTACGAATAATGTTAAAGTATTAAGTAGTTCGAGTATTAAGTATTAACTGTTCCAACGGTTCCGTTTGTAATTTTCTTGCTTTTCTTTTTTTTTTCTGACAAGAAGTTCGGTTTGCAATATAAAAACTGAAAGCATAAAAAGTCAGCTATGTGTAATCTTGTGTTTATTGTCTTGGTAAATTCACTTATATTATCATTACGTTTTGTTTGAATGAAACATCGTATTTTATTATATGGTTTACCGACTAAAATGATATAGATAAATATATCTATGTAAAATACAAATAATGTGGCACTTGCTTGATGCACAAAATATTGATGATTATAGTTCGTACAAGAAATCATGCATACTGTGAGTATCAAGCAAGTACAACTCTAATCATCAACCTTTGATGACTTCTGTTAACATATTTATTTTAAATTCAATTAGTTACGGCTCTTAAGGAATGATGCAATATGGTGGAGACTTCCGTAGTTATTAGATGTAAAACAAATTAGCTAACTCCAACTAATGTTCTAAATTAATATAGCAGCCAATAGGCAATACGAATTTTTTTTTTGGGGTAGAATCATGAATGGTCGATCATTTTAACATTTACAACTAATCAAAATTTCGTTTTCACTTTCTTTCACCCAAATATGCAGCAATATTGATAACGTAATTAAAGCATCATCTTCCCAATGTTTTTTTTTTCTCCCAAACCAAATTCAAGCATTAAAACAGAGCTCATGGTGTTAAATACGCGACAATCCCATGCAAAATGCATAAAGATCAAACAACGTAAAAACAGCCAAACCTACTAAAAGAGAAAACAAAACAAGTCTCACACTCGGGACTTATATCCGCACCTTACAGATAAGAGAGAAAATCACAAATACTGAGCGAACTGAGACAACTCTTAAACCAAATCATACAATCAGTAACGTCTTCTCGGGCTTCGTGAACGTTGTGACCTCCCAGACCTTCAAAACCGCAGAAGAACCCAATGATCAAAGGATGATATGAATATAACTGCCAACACTAACATGAAATGACTTCAAAAGTCACTTACTCCGTTGAAAGATTTGACATACACAATCTTAACTCTAAATTTAAAGACTTCTTCTCACTCGCATTTGTGCTTAATTAGTAACTTTTCATACTTATCAACACTCGACTTCAACTCAACAAAATAGCAAACAACTCTACTCCTACTTGGTTATGAGAGTCGATACAGAAGAGCCATTAGGAAACAAACCTCGCGTTCTTTCTCCTGTAAGATCCAAAACTAGGTCCCTTGCTGAAGGCCCAGTCAACGCTGACAGTCTGAGAAAGAATCTCAGCACCATTCATTGCTGTAATAGCGCTTTGTGCTTCTTCACTCTTCTCATATTCTATCAAAGCATAGCCCTATACAACAAGACAAAACCAAGTGGGCAAACAAATCAATACAACTTCCATTAGAGATATTCACCAAAACTGAAGAAAAACCAGACTCAGTACACCAGCATTCTGACACACATCTTATCATTCTGACTCTTCGTTTAAGATATACTCAACATGATGTATTAATTATCCCAGAGGACTGTAATCTGGGATAAAACATTATTGCACTATCCAGAATATCATATCTTTAATGTTAGTCATGACAGATAATCTAACACACCAAAAGAGTTAGCTTGATTTTAGCAAAAACCAAAAGGGTGTTAAACCATCAAGAGCCACGAGGAACAAAGGAGACACTCCATACCTTGACAAAACCAGTACGGCGATCGAGATTGAGATGTAGACTCTTTATCTGACCAAAATCACCAAAAGCATTCGTTAAATCATCCTCCTGTGCCTCCTCATGAACTCCGGTGACCAAAATAATCCAACCCTCAATGGCTACACATAAACACAAACAATCATCCACAACAGTTCTAAGTCTCATCTACCAATGTCTACAATCAGAACACAACAAAAAGTTTGTATCTCTTTCTCCGTCTACAAACATTTTACACTTTATTCTTGCTCGAAGAAACTATGTTCAGTACTCACAAACTACGCTTCAGTTTAGCTAAAACCATTACAGGTGAAATTCTTCACTTAGTCGATGGAGAGAAAAGGACGCAACAGATATATCCAGAACAACTTCTAGACCAATCTACTAAAACAAAGATATCTAGGTCAAAATTGAATTCTTAGAGAAACCCTAGAAACACAAATCAATCAACGACGCAAGGAATCAAGCAAGCTCACATTACTAAAACAAAGATAATCTGACCCTAAAGTGGGAGAGACTGAGAGAAATTACATCGCTGAGGGCCATGACCGCCATCGGAACCGAGTGATTCGAAATCGCGAGAGGAAAGGGGACGCTGGCGATCGGAATCTTTGTCGTCTTTAAACCCACGGCCTTTGGTCTTCCTCTGCGCCGATTCGCCATTTGCTCCGGCGATAGCTGACCTAAGCCTCATATGGCCAGCGCGTGGGGAAACATCACCGGCGTCAACTGCTCCGGCATCTTCGTCCATAAGGTCATCCTCCTCCGGCTCAAAATCGACTGCTTCAGATTCCATGTTCGCCATAACTTAAGCCGCCGCCGTCTGATGCCGATCGAATCTCTTCCCGTTTATTCTACTGCAGCCACAACTCTTTTGTGTTTGTTTCCTTTGTCTTAGGGAGAGTTTTCGTCTAATCTAGATATTTCTCCCAGTGGTTTATACCAATGAAACTGGGCCTTAATTGGGCATTAATTGGGCCGTTTATGGGCTTTTGCACGCTTATGAATTAAAGCTAACTAAGCCTTTTCTTTTTTTTTGGGCTTCTTCTAACAGCTTTTGATTAAAATCCTCTTTTCAAATGGTGCAAACTTGCATTATCTCAGTCTCATCATACCTAAATGAAGACATAAAATAGCTGCTGAAACATTTAATTTTTCGCAGCTAAATTACTACTACTATTAAGAAATTAACTCTAACTCTAGTGATGTTTTTGTGGTTAAGATTTATATGCTTTTTTAAAAAAATGCAAATTTTAATAAAATTAAATAGAAAGTTTTACTAAAGAAACCTCGGTTCTAACTTCTTAATTAAGAAGCTTGCATCTATGTAATTGTTGGTAACAAAAGCTCAGTATATATTAATATGGTATGCTCGCCAGAGCTGCGTTTTGGTTATCTCGTGAAGATTTTAACTCGGGACATTTCTTATCATCTTATGGGATGAATCAAACATTGGAGAGTAGACTGGTGATGTATTCCGATGTCCCTAAAGTAAATTAAAAGAATTCAAGTACAAGGAAAATCAAGAAAAGAGCTTTAAACACATTATTATTTTCAGTTTTCACAGTATAGTGGTCTAGTGGATGATTCCGTCTAAAGAACTTTATGGGCATGTGTAACAGTTATCGAAGGCTGAACGTCCGTTTCTCGTTTTGGGATCAGAAGTTTCTGGAAGCATGCTTTAAAAAAAAAAAAAAATAAATGAAAGCAATTTGATTCTCTCCTTCATCTCAGCGCCGGGTTCGAGTATGTCATCTTAACACATCAAATTTTGTTTGTGTTTTAGTAGAAAACATTTTATTACAAACGTTAATTTATGGTAAAATAGTTAGAAGCAACGAAAAGGATTGTAAACCTTTTTTTTGATAAATAGGATTGTAAACCTTCATAACCTTTATCACAAGAAAAGAGATACCACACTCGAGATTGAATCATGGCATACCTTTTATTAGCTTTCATGATGTTCAATTATTTATCTTGTGTCGATGATGTCAGATTATTTAATCACTTAAGAATTAAGATACTACAATTATATTTTTGGTACTTTAACCTTTACAATAGATATCGGTTCTTATTTTGATGGTGATCATCGTTGTTTTATCCATTTACACATGATCATTCCAGTCGAGTATTGCTTTCTAATATCCCAAAACGAAAAATAAAATAAATATTAACGAATAAATCTGCCATCCAAACATTTTTTTAGACTGGTTAAAGAACAAGAGCATTTCTTTTATAAAGAAAATAGAGTGTTAGCCTTTCGTCATTTGACTCATTTCTCGTATAAAATTTATTTTGCCTTGTCTGATTCTATTGACCAAACAAGTAGGAACACTCCAAAAACCACGGTCAATGGACAACAACTATTTAACATCACACGTGTTCTCATCAAGCAATCTTTGCCGTTTAATTATATACATATAAATAGACAGCTTGAACGGCTAGGATATAAAGTTGAGTAATTGAAGCCCCTACACTCGTTACTACTGAGGAAAATAAATTGACTTGAGGATAATTAATGTCACGCGCGGGTTTTGGTGTGACGGGAGAAGAGAAGCAAAGAGCTCTGTGACAAAAAAAATTATTTTATGGTTAATGAGCGAGCCCTTTGAGAAATTATTTTAGAAGAATAAGAGAACAAGAAGTGGTAGCAAAATACTGTAAGAAAGTAAGGATAGATATCAGAAGAAATAGAAATATAATTATTATTTATTTCCACTTTTGTTATTTGTGACTATCGAAAATAGTATAAGTTCTACGTCTACCTCTCTAACCATTGAGGTAAATAGTTACAAATCAAACCCATTAATACCTAACTATTCTTTAGGGGTTATGTAAAAGCGTATCTATCTATCTCTACCCAATCATATCAATCTAATAAACATAGAAAGAATGACTACAATTTTTCAAAAAATGGAAAAAAAAATCGAAAAGCTTCTTTATCCAAGAAAAGGGGAAATAGCGTTGATGCCTACTAGGCTACTCGGGAAAAAAATCGCAATTAATATTTTAATATATTTTTAATTAATTTACCAAAAATTCAGGAAGAAAATGAATTTTGTTTTTGGTCACTCTTAATCCCGCTCTTTACCCACTTCAAAAACCCTAAACGCGATTACAAAACAAAACCCCAAAAAGAAATACAACAGAGAATTCGGATCTTTATATTTGTTTTTGTTATATAATATTTGCTAAATGCTTTTTACAAGACAAAATCATAACAAATTCCTAAAGGAAACATACATTTATGATTTAACACAAACCGAAGAGAAAAAAACCCATTTTCCTCAGAGAGTAAAAGCAAAAAAGCTTTTGGTTTTTCCTTCGTCTTCTTCACCATCCTCTCGGAAAAAATAAACAAAATTTGCCGGCCATGGATCCCGACGATCCAACTTCCATTATCTTTAAAAAGATCAGAACTTTAGAACCAGAGAACGCTCCCAAAATCATTGGCTATTTTCTATTGCAAGACATGGAAGAGAGAGATTTGATTCGTATTGCTTTTGGCCCTGACACTCTCTTACAGAGTTTCTGTCGAAAAGCAAAGTCCGATTTGGGTCTTTCCTCGAACGGTTTCTCACCAAACCCTCTCTCGAGACCCATCAATATCCATCACCAGCCATTGTCTCAGTCTTCTCCAAGGGATGGGTTCTTGGAGTTTTCGAGAAACCCTAACCATTTCTCTCCTTCCTTAACTGCGGGAACTCTCAACGCTAACCCTAACTTCGATTCTAGCCCATTTCGTGACTGTTCATCTCTTTTCGCTTCTTCTTCCGGAGATTTCGTCGACGAGCAACAACAACAACAACCGAGTAATCACTTTCCGTTTCTCAACAACGAGGATCCATTCGCTTATCTGCACAAAAGGAGCTTCTCGGCAAACGATGCTTGTCTCGAATCAGAGGAACCAGGGTTTGGAGGAGCCGGTTACCGGTTCCCACAGGCCGGTTTAGTTGATGATTTCGGTTCCTCTGGTGGTGAGAGGGGCTACGTTTGTTTACAGAGAGAGGAGATGATGATGATGAAGTTAGCTCAGCAACAGAGAATGGCTGCTGCTCAATTCCTCCGGCAAAGGTAAATTTTGGATTTTTGGGCTCTCATTGTTTGTTTGCTTTCTCTGTATATGTTTGGTTAGTAAAGACTCAGACTTTACAGAAAAAAAGGTGTAGCATTTGGTGAGCACAAGTTTTGTATCAACAATTTTGACTTTTTGAGCTTTGGGGGCTTGTTTCTTGCAGACAAGGAACAGGACAGTTTGGAGAAGAAGGTGGTTACTACTATAATCCAGGGAGGCTTGAAAGAGATGATTCAGTCGCTAGACAGATTTACTTGACATTTCCATCTGAAAGCTCATTCACCGATTCAGACGTCTCCCATTATTTCAGGTAATATAGGATTTTGAATGTTGTTGTTGGGACATAATTGGGTTATCGAATGTTTCTTGTTCGTTTTGATAGTGATTGTTTCTTCTTGAATGTGTAGCGAATTTGGAGCCGTGGAAGATGTGAGGATTCCATATCAGCAGCAACGGATGTATGGGTTTGTTACTTTCGCTAATGCTGAAACTGTGAGAAGCATATTGGCTCGAGGAAACCTCATTTCATCTGTGGCTCACGTGTGCTCGTTAAACCATACAAGGAGAAAGGAAAAATTCTTCAAAAGTAAACCACCAGTTCTTGATCCTTCTTTTTTTCCTCATCTTTTATCGTCTCTTGGGTTCATTTACTTACTGTAGTTTGGTAAAACAATAGCAAGAGGCAACAGCAGCAGCTGCAACAGCTCATAGAGAGAGGGAACTATTCTCCTTCGTCAAGTCCTTCTGGAATGGATCTATATGACTGTCACTTGGGTTAGTTTCGATTGAGCTTAGAAACCGATTTTTTGGTTTGTTTCTTTCTTACTCAGATACTAACTCTGCATTTGTCTTTTCGTTACCAGGACCAAGGATGTTTTCAAACAGCACACACGAGATGCTGAGAAGGAAAGCCGAGCAGGAAGCTGAAATACAACAAGCCATAGAAGTAGAACTCCAAAGAAGGTTCTTGAATCTGCAAATGTCCGACATGGAGAAGGAACCATTTCACCATCACCAGCGTAGTCTTTCTATAGGCTCTCCTGCTCGTTTCCCGCCTCGATTTAATCATAGCCTTCTCTTTCGATCAGAAAACAACATTGGAGAAATCATGGAAGGTTGTTGTTGTTTTTGTTGTTGCTCTCAAGGTTTAAGCTTTTTTCTTTTTCCGGTCTTTATTCATTCTTTTCCCCTCTTGTTATCCTTTGGTCAGGCGATATTGATAGAGGTGAGAAACATTCTCAGCTAGTAGCAGACAGCAACGAAGAACGTGGATACAGGAACGATTTCTACAAAGGGTAAATGAATGATATGAAACATGGCTTTAAGTCTTCTTGTTACCCATATAGGCTACATTAGTTCTTACATGCGGTTTATTTATCATTTCTGAAGGCAAGAGACGAGTCTTGAGAGCAATCTTCCTGAAAGCCTGTTTGGTTCCCCCAAAAAGTCTGATGAATCCCGCCAAACTGAGTCTGATACCGAGCAGAATAAGGCAGCCTCATCAGGTCAACCAGCCTAGCACATGGGTACGTTCAAAACCTCCCTAAATCAGACATTGTCTCATACTATGGACAGCCAGATTCTCTAAACCCATAACCTTTTTCAGGCTCACTGTAGAAAGATCTCGACAAAAGTGTATGAGTGAAAGGTGAGCAATTTCCGCTTTAAAGCAAACCTGAAACTTTTTTTTTTGTTGCTAACACTCCATTTCGTTTTTTTTTGTTATACATCTTTGATTTGCAGAAAGGTAAAGACTGATAAAAGAAGGAAGTAGAAGTGAAATTGTCTATATATAGAAAAAGCTTTAAGAGGTTTTTAACATGGAACACAAAAGTGAAGGTAAAAGAGATCAGTTTTAGGGTATTATGTCATCTACAAAATAGGATATTACAACTAACCTCGACGACGACTCAGATCAACACAGTAACTGAGTCTAATTCTAAACCCTAAACTCGAAGTAGGTTTTTTTTTTTGGTAATTTCTTTTTCCTGTTACTCTACTAAGTCAAAAATTCTGGTATGGGCAAAAGCTGCATTTTGTATACTTACCATGACTGTATAAAATGCATGTGTTTTTCTTGATGACAACAAAAGGTTGAAACTTTAAGCAAAATTGTTCATTTAAACCGAGTTGAAATATTCGAACCGAAATTAGCACTGAAAAAATTGAACTAAAATGGAGTTGAATCTAATTCAATCGAAGCAAGTTACAAATCTGAAGCGAATTATCCAAATGCTATACTCCTCGGTTCATTCTTGATCAAATCAAAACTCTAGTCTATCCACCAAGTTGAAGAAATTTGAATTTTTTGATACTAAAAATTGCTTGTTTTCAAATTTTGGTTCAGTTTTCTCTTTCCTTATGCAGTTACCATTTAAAGAAACTATTCCATTCAACTCCAGTACCAGCTGCATGCGTCATATTTTTATTATTCAAACAAACTTTAAAATAACAAAAGAAAAAAAAGAACGAAACTTTTGATCTTCCTCTTGGTCTCAGAAGAAAACAGAAAAACGTTATTTCACTTTTCATCTTCTTCTACAGATGGATTCGAATGCAGACAATCAGAAAGATACTTGTTTGATGAAAGCCCATTTTCTAAAACCCTATGTAACTTCCATTGACGGTCCTGTAGCCGAGCTTCCTCGTTACCGTTCCTCTGTTTCTTCATCAGATCTAAAAGACTCATTTTCCAGGATTTCGTTCACTGGGTTTTGGTTTCCAGATGGAGATTTCAGATCATGGGCTGAAAAAATGGAAGCTTTGTATGAACCCACTTGGAGAAGAGCTGGGATTTTTGAGGCAATCAAAGCATCAACATACAAAATCCCCAAAAACCAGTCTTTGATTCAAGCCCTCGTTGAGAAATGGTGTCCTGAGACGAAATCATTCGTTTTCCCTTGGGGTGAAGCAACGATAACGCTCGAGGATGTGATGGTGCTTCTAGGCTTTTCTGTTTTGGGTTCTCCTGCTTTTGCTCCTTTAGAAAGCTCGGAGATGAGAGATTCCGTGGAGAAACTGGAGAAAGTGAGGCTAGAGATTCTAGATAAAGTAACCAAAGGTGGGCGCGTGAGTCAATTTCAATGGATTTCGAGTTTCAGAGGCAGAGGCGATTCGATGGAAGAGCATGAAGCTTTTATTGCAATGTGGCTTTCGCATTTCGTTTTCCCACCCAAGTCTCGTCGTTGTATTTCGAGATATGTTCTTCCCATTGCTGTTCGTTTGGCTAGAGGTGAAAGGATTGCACTTGCCCCTCCTGTTCTCGCAAGTATATACAGAGATTTAGGTCAAATACGAGCTTTTGCTAGAGATAAGTCCACTCAAATTATCAAATCGCTGTTTAAGTTGGTCCAAGTTTGGGCGTGGGAGAGATTCAGAAACATAAGACCAGAAGCTAGAGAGATAAGAAGAGGTGAACCGAGAATTGCTCGATGGAGCTGTTTAAATAAGAGGAAGGAGAGTTTGAGTTTTGATGATTTTGACTGGCGGCCATACACTAAACCTTTAGATAATTGGATTCCTCCTCGGTTTTACCTTGAAGAAGCTATGTGGATTACTGTTGATGACAATCTTGACGATGAGTTTGTTTCGTTTGCTCGATGTATGAGAGTTTCTCAGCTTGTTGGGGTTGGTTTTGTAGAGGATTACTATCCGAATCGAGTGGCAATGCAATTTGGGTTGAGTCAAGATCTTCCTGGTTTGGTTAGTGATCATTCCAGCTTCACAGAAAAAGAGGCATGGGATGATTATAATAAGTCACTCGATGGTCTAAAGATTTATGTGCCTTCTCGTCTCGCTACAACTTCTGTTACTGCAAGATACCGAGACTGGTGGCTGAAATCAGTTTCAGAGTTTTTGGATTCTTCAGGATCAAGTGAACCTTTTAACGCAAGAAATACAGCTGATCATGATGATGTATCTCCTAAGGTACTGTCATTGGGTCAAGTGCTTCAGAATCTGGGAGCAGGGTTTCCTTTAAAACTCACGAGATGTAAGAAGCGTCGAATAGCGAAAAATATGAGATCTGAGATCAAGAAAGACAAGAGTGGTGATTGTGGTGGATCAGCTTCAACAGAAGTGCCACTTGGTGAGTTGTTTCAGAAGGAGTTAGCAAAGAGGACACGCTTGAGAAACCAGAGAACCAAGCGACCTCGTGAGGATGATGATGAGAATCGTATGGATTGTTATGGTGATATTACCATTGCTCAGTTGTACAAATCAAGAAAGAAAACAGGAGGAGATGCTTCTGAATCCCTTGGAAAAAGAAGTAGACACGAGGCGGATAACAATGATTCAGGCCTTGGTCAAAACCTTACTTCTGGAGATGATGAAGCTGTGGCACCACAAGAAATAGAGCAAAAGAGTGAAGAGAATGATGAAGAAGAAAGTGGAAGTGAAGCAGAGAAGATTACAGATCTGATCCTATCTAATGAAAACAACTCTCTAAATCCTCCTCTCGGTGCTAATGGAGGAATAGTTGACATTGTTGTGTCATTACCAGAAGCAAGACAAATCTGTAATGGTGAGATTCATGTAAATGGAAACAATGCAGAGAAGGAGACTATGATCGATGATGGAAACAAGGAAGTTGAGTGTCTGCTCAATGAAGATGGAGAAAAACAGAAGTCTAATGAGAAGTTGTGCAGTGAAGCTAACATAGAAGATGATGAAAGATTGAAGCAGAGAAAGCTTGCAGTATATGAGCTAGCATCGAATCTAGAGGCACGTATGATGAAGGTGGAGAAGACTTTGGCAGAGATTAGAGAATGGAAAACCAGAAGAAACCAGATAAAAAACGGAGTTTCTGCTTAAGCTAATCGTGTCTAAAGCTTCTGATCTGAAACTTTTCATGGAAACAACAATGTCACACATTATCAATCTTTTGTTGTAATTTCTTTTGCTCTTTTGCATATGTATAGAACACATCAGACGCAAAAGCTGTATGGTATTAGTATTTGAAAGATCTATCAAATGGGGGGGAATCACTACTTTCTGCTTTTGAATTAGGTGCAGAGAAACTTTTAAAGGACACAGCATCTCTAGTTCAAAACAAGAAACTTTTTAGTCATGGCTTTATGATACTTATCTTTTTTTTTTTTTTTTTAAAACATCAGGCTTTATAATACTTAACAGAAATTTTTGTTTATATAGTTCGGTTTGTTTGATTAAGTTTGGTTCAAGTCGGATGTATTCGATCGGTTAATGAGAATTTGGGTCCCTGAGAATTTGAATAATTGTGTTTGGTCAACAAAGTCCATTCAGGTCTGATTTGTTACAACAAATTATATTTTTAGTATTAATCTTTTTCTAATATTTGTCACTCTCATAAAAATCATTTTTTTTTCTTAATATTGTTGTTGCAGGCTAATAAGAGATAAGACACAGACTGCCAAACGATGAAACAATTTTCAAAGGATTTGAAAAGAGAAATATATTTATTTGATTTTGACTGATGATGAGACCTTTCCCTTAATCAATTAGTGTCTTTCCAATTACCTTAAAAAGGAACTGTTTTTGCATTCCAGTTCCAGCACCTCTCTGCAACATCATTTCTGTGCCTCTGGCTTTCTTCAAACGTTAAATCAAAAAGAGAGACCGAGAGAGAAAAAGAACAAAACTTTCTCTTTCAACTTCTTCTTCTCCAGAAAATGAGAGAGAGAGAAGTCGACCTAGCAGCCAAAAACTCATCTTTTGAACCCTGTTTCACCACTTCCTTTGACGGATCTGAAGCTATGCTTCCTCTTCAAGACCGATCAGCTACGTCTCCTCCTGACTTAAAGGTTCTGTCTTTTAGTGTTTCCTTCAATGGGTGGAGAAGGGCGTGCCCAAATTTCAAGTCTTGGGCTAGAAAAATGTCTGCTTTGCACAAACCCACTTGGGAAAAAGCTGGGATTTTCGAAGCTGTTATGGCATCCACACTCAGTATCCATAAAAACACAGATCTCATTCTGGGTATTGCTGAGAAATGGTGTCCTGAAACCAACACTTTCGTCTTCCCTTGGGGTGAAGCAACCATAACACTTGAAGACGTTATGGTGCTTCTAGGTTTCTCTGTTTTGGGTTCACCATATTTTGCTGCTCTGGATAGCTCAGGAGAGATGATTAGGAGGAAACTGGCTAGAGAAGCGCGGAAGTTTAAGGAAGATAAAAAAGTCCAGTTCATAACTCAAGTATTATGGACGGTGAGATTCATGGACAGTGGTGATGAGCTTGAGCATGTGGCTTTCCTTTCGTTGTGGCTTAGCTATTTTGTGTTTCCATCACGCTACTATCATCTCACAGGCAGAGACATTTTTTCAGTTGCTGTTCATCTTTCACGTGGTACTAAGATTGCTCTTGCTCCAGCTGTTCTTGCACATTTGTATGGAGAGCTAAGTCTCTTGAAAAACCACATTCGAGATTTCACCTTAGCAACCATTACCCACAAAATTGAATTGAGCTCCTTGTTTAAGTTGGTTCAAGTTTGGACATGGGAGAGATTCAGGGAACTTCAGCCAAAACGTAATATGATACTAGAAGGTGAGCCAAGAATGGCTCGTTGGGTTTACCCGAAACGACAGGAAACGAGCCATGTGAGAGAGATTCTGAAAAAGTCGAAAATGGACAGTTTTGAGTGGCGTCCCTACACAAAAGCTGTTGAAAACTGGAAGTTTCCTCAGTTTTACCCTGAGAAAGCAATGTGGGTTCCGGTTGGTCCCAATCTTGATGATGAGTTTATCTCTTTTGCTCGATGCATCAAGGTGTTTAAACTTGTTGGAATTCATTGCGTGGAACATTACTTTCCCAACCGAGTGGCTTCACAGTTCGGATTGTTTCAGGATGTTCCTTGTCCTGTTATTCGGAACAATCTCTCAAGGGAGGCAGCTTGGGATGAATACAACAAGCCTATTGATGTTTTGACATTGTACATCCCTTCTCGTTCTGCAAAACCTCGTTTTACTCCGGAGTTCTGCGAGTGGTGGAAGAAGTCGTCTCTAGAACTTCAGTATTTTCCGAAGGAGAACCGAGTTGTTGAATCAGCTGAAACATTGACACTGAGAAACATCGGTGGTGATGATGATACATCTGATTATGTTCCTTCAAGTTCTAAGAGACAGGAACATTTGAAGTCGTCTCTAGAACTTCAGTATTATCAGAAGGAGAACCGAGTTGTTGAATCAGCTGAAACATTGACATTGAGAAACATCGGTGGTGATGATGATACATCTAATTATGTTCCTTCAGGTTCTAAGAGACAGGAGCATTTGAAACGAGTTCGTGAGAACGATGAGAGTACTATGGGTCGTTGTCATACAAAGGTTCCATCAGACAATGATGAAGAAGATGATAGCCTTACCATTGGTCAAGTAATGAGACTTAAAAAGAAGAAGTATGGTGATTCAGATCAGAATGATGGAAGAGATGCTTCTGAACAGCTTGGTACAAAAAATAGACTTGAGGAAGATAGCAGTGATTCAGGCCCTCGTCAAAAGCTTGCTTCGATAAGGACTGTTGAAAATGAAACTCTATCACCACCAGAACTAGACCAAAGGAATGAAGATACTGACGAAAACAACTCTTCAGATCCTCCTCAGGTACTGCCATTAAGTCTTCAGAAGTTGGGAGAAGGGTTTCCTGAAAACCCCAAAAAAATTAGGAAGCTTAGAACAACGAAAAATGTGAGATCTGAAATGAAGAAAGACGAGATTGGTGCTTGTGGTGAATCAGCTTCAAGAGAAGTGCTACTTAGTAAGTTGTTTCAAAAGGATTTAGTGAAGAGGAAAAGTGAGCATTTGGGACACAAGGGAGCTCGTGAGGATGATGATGAGAGTTTTATGGATTGCTATGATAACATTACCACTCTTGAGTTGATCAGATACAGAGAGAAAAGTGGAGGAGATGCTTCTGAATCACATGGAAAAAAACGTAGACTTGAGGCGGATAGCAATGACTCATGGATTTGTCAAAAGCTACAGAAATCTGAAGATGAAACTGTAGCACCACGAGAAATGGAGCAAAGGAGTGAAGAAGATGATGAAGAAGAAGAAACTGGAAGCAAAGGAGGGAAGAATACGGTTCTGATCCAAGCTAATGTTAACAACCCTTCGGATCCTCTTCTCGGTCCTAATGGAGGAGGAGTTGAACTTGTTGTGTCACCACCAGAGACAAGACAAAACTATGATGATGAGGTTGATGTGAATGGAATCAATGCTGAGAAGAAGAAGATTGTGGTCGATGATGGAACCAAGGAAGCAGAGAGTTTGCTTCATGAAGATGGAGAAAAGCAGAGATCCAATGAGAAGGAAGACGATGATGATGAAAGATTGAAGCAGAGAACGCTTGCAATATATGAGATAGCATCGAATCTAGAGGCACGTATAATGAAGGTGGAGAATACTTTTGCAAAGATTAGAAAATGGAAAACCAGAAGAAACCAGGCCACAAATGGAGTTTCTGCTTAGGATCTCATGGAAACAAAACAACAATGTCACACACATTATCAATCTTTGGTGTGATATCTTTTGCTCTTTTGCATATTCTTGAGAACTTACTTATTAGACACAAATCTTTCTGATGTTTTGTTTTGTGGGTTTTAGTTTAGTACGTATTTGAAAGATCTCTTGAGTTGGAGGAGAATCATCATTACTTATGCTTTTGAATTTGGCGCAGCTCAAAGCCTCAAACTTTATATACGGTTTGGTTCGGTTTAGGTAGATCTCTATTTAATTAATTTGGTTTCGTTGGTTTAAGCATGTGTACAGTATATAAAGAGGAAATAAAAACGAAGCAGAATCTGGGAAATCAAGATCCGATATGTTCTTCAATCTTTCACTAAACTCATCTCGAAAAGCCAAAAAGGTTTCAAATTTATGTAAAATTCGTGAAACTCTAGAAAGGGTTAAGTCAATTTAGAAGAGAAGGAACATAGATATGGCGAAGAAGCACAAGTTCGGCAGAGTAGTGTTGGTTTCGTGCATCGCGCTTCTAGCCACCGGACTCATTGCCGACTTTCTCTGGGTTACTTCTCATCGATTCTCCTCCGCCGCGATCTCGTACTGGTCCGCCGGAATATCTCTTCCCTCCTCCGTCACTACCGTAATCGCTTCCGACCAGGTGAAAAATCCGTCCTTTTGTGATCTGTTGTTGATGTAATTAGATCTCGACATCTGAAATTAGCAATTCTAGCTTTCAGGAAGATGATTCCTACTTCAATGTTACACTATCATTGTGGGTTCTTAACTCAACTCTGTTTTGTTGCTTTTAGGAGAAAAATACAAAGAAGAAGAAGAAGGAGAGTGTTAAGGAGAGGAAACTATCAGCGACATTTCAAGATTTGCCAGCTCCTGAATTGAAATGGGAGAAGATGGCCTCTTCACCTGTGCCTCGTCTAGACGGAGCTGCAATTCAGATTAGGGATCTTTTATACGTCTTTGCTGGATACGGAACCATTGATCTTGTGCATTCACTTGTTGATATCTACAATTTCACTGATAACTCGTGGGGAGGAAGATTCGATATGCCAAAAGAGATGGCGCATTCTCATTTAGGGATGGTAACAGATGGGCGATACATTTATATTGTTACTGGTCAATTTGGTCCGCAATGCAGAGGACCTACAGCTAAAACATTTGTGCTTGATACCGATACTAATACATGGACCGACTTTGTTCCTTTACCAGTTCCTAGGTACTGTGTAGCAAGTGGATACGATTTGTCTTTTTTTTCAAGTTTCAGATCACATTATGCACCTCTCGATGATGTTCAATGTTGAAAACTAGTTTATACGTTCAGGTATGCACCGGCTACTCAGCTTTGGAGAGGAAGACTCCATGTGATGGGTGGAAGCAAGGAGAATCGATTTACACCAGGGCTTGAGCATTGGAGCATCGGCGTTAAAGATGGCAAACCATTAGAAAACGAGTGGAGAAGTGAAATTCCAATCCCTCGTGGAGGACCTCACAGGTTCTTGTTTTATTCCGATGCTATCTCCGGTAAAACAAAAGACGAATTGCACTTCAAAGCATTTGGTTCTTTTTTGTCATTGTAGGGCTTGTGTAGTAGTTGATGACCGACTATTTGTGATTGGTGGTCAAGAAGGTGATTTCATGGCTAAACCTGGATCACCTATCTTCAAATGCTCACGTCGTATGGAGGTATTGGATTAATGGCTTATAACGAGCAAATCAAGGTGTTATTCCGTTACATAAGTTCAAGATATCATGAGTTCTTCAACTTTTTGTTAGGTGGTATTCAGTGATGTCTACATGTTGGATGGAGAAATGAAATGGAAAGTTATGCCACCAATGCCAAAACCGGACTCCCATATTGAGTTTGCTTGGAAAGTCGTTAATAACTCCATTGTAATCGTTGGGGGAACAACAGAGAAGCATCCTGAAACCAAAAAGATGGTTCTCATTGGTGAAATCTTCCAGTTCAACTTGAATACATTGGTAAAATCCCGAAAGCCTTCATGCTCAAACCTGTCCAAGATTCGTGATTGAATGTGTCACTAATGATTTTTGCCATTTTTTGACAGAAATGGTATGTGATTGGTAAGTTACCATACCGTGTGAAAACAACGCTGGTTGGGTATTGGGACGGACATATATACTTCACGTCAGGACAAAGAGACAAAGGTCCAGATGATCCTGCCCCAAAGAAGGTCATGGCAGAGATGTGGAGAACCAAACTGATACTTAACTCATGAAGCAAGCAACATTATTCTGTATTCTTTGAGCCCTATTTCAAACAAGTCCTTACATTATATGTATACATCCCATGTAATGACAATTTGTATATTGTAAACTGAATCAGAATCTATCTAGAAAATTTCAGTTCCAACACATCTTTTGTGTTTTTAACTTACAATCAGAGAATTGGTCAGGTTGGATTCCATTTCTGGTTAATCGATATGGTTTTATAGAAAACCTGCTATTTTACAAAAGAAAGAAACCACCACTATCATATGCCTTTTCCAGGTCTTTGTTGATTATCTAGATCAGAGAAGCCAAGAACAAGCTCCACCATGAAAAGCTCTCCATCAAACCTTAGACCAGACGATGCTGCAGGCTGAAGAAGATCATCAACCATCCCGCCAAACACATATACAAATCTCCCTGAACTATCAGCACAGGCTCGGTGAAAAGACCTGCTTTTTGGTCCATATGAGATTCGATCAAGCTTTTTCCACACCGATGATCCGTTTAAACTAACCCCTTGTGGCTGCAAACCTGAAGCAGGAATAGTTTTAACATCCAAAGCCCAGAAATCATCTTTCCTGTGCCTATAAGAGTCTTCACCTCCATAAATCAAGATCCGACCCCCCAATACAAGAGTAGCCGAGTGACCAACCCGAGGCAACGATGCAAATTCAGGAACATCCCGGAAATCGTAGAAGAGCTGTACCCATCTCTCTTCACACTGTTCTTGAATATCCAAGATCCAAACATCATCAAGCACACCATATCCTAATCCTCTGCCTCCAAATAGAACCACTTGGTTTTCTCTAATGCAGGTCAAAGTATGTCCCGAGCGTGGTGGCGGTGATAGAAAAGACTCCACCATGTGCCATGTCCCTGAGGTGAAATCCTCTGAAAGTTCTAGAATCCATGTATCTCCAAGCCTGACTCCATTCAACCCGATTCCTCCATGTACAACCATCTTCTTCTCTGCAATACAACAAGCAGAGTGAGCACCACGAGGAGGAGGACGAGGACGCTGCAAAGGTCCAACATTGAGGAGTTTCCAAGAGAGTCTCTCGTGGTAAGAGACTTGACCGATCCATGTATCGTTTAACCGCTCTCCACGGTCGTTTATTCCTCCAAATATGAGTAGATGCTCGCCTATAACGATGCAGGTATGACCAAATCTCCCACTTGGAGTTCCCGATTCAACTTTTCTCCATTTCATTATGTTTGGATCGCTCTTATTAACATAAGCTGTCCATGTATCATCAAGATGGCGTCCTGAAGAAAAGAAAAAAAACAAAGCAATAAACACAAAGATCTCAAATTGATACAAGCAATTCGGCAATTCTCTAATCCAACTAGCATCAGAGTCACTTAATGAAATGGCGTGTGCTTAACACACTCATCTAGCGAACAAAAAAGGCAAGTGGATCAAATCGAAAATCGACTGCTTCCAACAAAATTAAGAATTTCAGAAGATGATTTAGCTAATAGGCAGATAAGCTAACCTCCTTGACAGCCACCACCAAACAAAACAAGATGATCGTTAACGAAGTTGAGAGAATGAGAAGCTCTAGGGATCGGAAAGGAAGAAGATTCCTCATCACCATCATCCGGGTCTGAGATTTTGTGACAACAAACGGAATCCATCTTATAAAGTCGCTGAAACATCATCATCCATGAAAACCCATCTCGTGAAGAGGAAGAAGAAGACGACGACTTTAAGACATCCACAGTTTGTGGGCCCCATTCTCGTTCGCACAGAGCCTCCCAGAGACTGTCGGAACAACCCAAGGCCATGTATCTCTTGCAGGTCATGGAAAAAGAGAGGACTAAATCTACGGGAAGAAGAAGCAAGATGTTGAAGAGATGGTCATCGGCTAAATTCGTTATTGGGCTTTGAGACGACGGCGAAGTCGACGGCGGAGATGGGTTTCTGGTTGATTCCGCCGCCATTGGAGGAAATCGGAGAAAGATTGATTCTTGGTGAGAATTATTGGGAATGATGATTGTTATCGTCACTGTCTCTCGTTACTGTATACGGTAAAAAAAAAAAAATCTTTCCTCTTTTGATTTTTTCTTTGAACATTTAGCTCCCCTTCAGATAAAAATTGCCCGCACAAATTTCAAACTTTTAGAAACTTTGTAAATACTTCGAAATATATGAGAAATTCGTTTTTCTACCCATACATTACAACAAATTACAGTTTCAAACTTTTTCCACCTCTTTTTCTAGCCCTATATTTAGTTTTGAACACGGGACAAGTACTTACCATTTTTTTTGGTATACTTGATATTTGACCCGCCTCATTCAAATATCAAGATATTTGTACTTAATCCGTTAATATCGAGTACTTACAATTTCAAGTACTTGCCAAAATTTTCATTACTTGCAAGTTACTTAGTTTGTCTCGTTACTTATAAAAATACAAATTAAATTATTAAATTTTAAAAATTTCAAACCATATTTATTTAAAGTTCATGATAATATATAATATTTTGATTTTTGGATTTTTAAAAAGCCTTAGATATTAAGTCTAGCTACTTATTTGTCTTTTTATAAAAAGAGTTTTTTTTAGTTTTTTTATGTTGTAATCGATGTTGGAAAAAATTAAGAAGAAATCAGAGATTATAAACGAGTAAAGGGTCAACAAAACCAAGTAGTATCTTTTTTGTTTAATACTTTGATACTTCCCTTATAATTGTAAATAATTTTCTTAAGATACTTGATACTCGACTAGATCAAAACAAGTACTTAATTTTATGGGGCCAATCTATATTCCAAGAAAGTGCATTTTTCTCCAAGTTTTGACAAATTTATATATTTTTTGAACACTTAAATTAACGCCCATTATTTCTGAGAATCTCATTTCTAGCCCTATATTCCAATAAATGTATTTTCCTTCCTGTGTCACAAATATCAAACAAACGCCTGATATTCACGAGAATATCTGTTTCTAGCCAGCCCTATATGCCAATAATTGTATTTTCTCCTAGTAAGTAGTGTTGATACAAATTTTTCAATTCTTATTAGCATCTTGTATCATAACATTCTTCATATCACCAGTCTATGTAATTGTACAGATTCCAACTATCAAAAGAAGATAAATTGAGAAATCAAATATGACACAACGAATTTCACACGCTGGCACGCTGCTCTCTACATTCAAAGCTTCGCGCCATTTCCGCAAGTTCATCAAACCTGTGGCCATTTCTGCAAATTGTGCAACTTGCCCTTCTCTATCACTTTCCACAGTGCAGATTTGGCTTCTTCTAAAGTCTCAACACCAAGAATTTCCTCAAAGGCTAGCCTTTGTATGTTAAACTGCACAAATAACAAATTCAATACACATTAAAAAAAAAACAGAATAGAGCTTCTGTTGCAGAATCATAGTAGAAAGGTTCTTAATTTTGTACTATTGAGTACTTACCTGAGCACCTTGACGAACTCTTATATCAATCCCTTTGCTATCTATAGAAATGATAGCAGCATCGTCTACCTCGGATTCAGTAGACAATAACTCTCTAAGTGGCTTTGAGAAGATGGTGTTTAGTTCCTATCATAATTTAGAATGAAATTAACAATCCACTCTGAGTCACTAAGCAGGCTCAATTATTTAAAAGGTTTGGAAAAGGAAAAAACGAACCTTTAGATTTTGCTCGCCTCCATCAACAGCTATCTTATCAGGTTGAAGAGCCTCGTACTCATTGACATTGATCCACGCGACAGTGCCAAAACCTCCAATGAAATATATATCACTGAGAAAAACAAATCCAGATTGTTATTATGTTTCGCTATTTACACTATGGCGTGGCTATATTTGAATAACAAGACAGAAACCTTATGTTTTGCATTCTAAAATAGTGAAAGTTTCCCCATTGTTGGGAAGGTCCTTGGTGATGCTTAGCTATATACTGTTTATGGGCCCATTCCTAGAAATCAAGATCAATAGAGACATTAAGAAAAACGGTAACAGGGACAAGGGTGTTAAGCAGGCAACATTTCATTTCAGGTTACATGGAGACTTACTTGCTCATTTTCTGACAATGGGTACACATCGCCGAATAACGTTACTCTTGCATTTGATAAGCAACTCCATCCAGGTATCTGCAAAACAAAAATCCACAAAAAAGGGAATAAACACCGTTCTGTTTTGTACAGTTATGAGACGATAGATGATGTTTACCTGAACAACGAGGGTGCATCTAGGTTCAGCTAATATATTCCTAGTGTGGATAGCCAACGGCGAAAATGAAAATATTGGGTCTACAAACAAGAAGTAAGCAAGAAGCTCTATGATCAAATGCGAAGAGAAAGTTGTTGAAAGTTTAAAATGCAGTTTTAAGGGAGAGACTTACGCCCCATTGGATCAGGTGCAAAATCTACCAAAGATCCAAACGGGTACCCTTCTCGGCGATGGTGCATTCTAGACATCACTGTGCATAAATGAGCAAACCTGGCCTTGAAACCATAAACAGTAACACCAAGAAACCAAACAGATAAAAAGAAATTTTAACATCTTTCCCACATGGAAGGTAAGAGGAAACAATTGAAGTGATCTAATATAAACATTTTACCTGCTCCATCAAGTTCCGAACAGCTAAAGCGGGTCGAGGTAAACCATGAGCAGAGGTTGCGCTTTGAACACCACCAGAGATCGGGGTTCTAAAGAGCCCAGCCCGAGTTCCTCCACCATAAGGAAGTGCAAGAGATGTCTCCACATCGATTACATTACGACTATCCTTTTCACCACTTAGACTACTTCCAAACTTTTCCTTCAGAAAACACATAAAGAAGCAAATCAATCTAATGCCAAAAGAATCAGCTCCATTGTTCAGGTTTTGTATCAACCGAAAGTTCAAAACTTCACAAAAACTTCGCATAACATCATAAAACTAGTGTATTTAACTGATAATCCACATAGGATTAGACAGAACATCAACTACAAGTTCAGGTTTGGATCAATCGAAAGCTCAGAACTTCGTATACCACCACAAAATTAGTGTCTTTAACTAAAACCTACATAGAATTAGACAAAACAAGATCCTATTATCAAATTCGCAGGTCTTCAGAGCAACTTGATAACCTCGTTTAGTCAATTTCTTTCGACAATTTACTAGAGAGGAGTAAAAATGTACCTCAGACAAAGAGAATATGTCACTAAACCCATTATCTTCCGCCAAATTATCTTCGCTCTCACTTGGTGCCTCCTCGTTTTGAAACAGAGCATGTAGACGAAGATGCCCATGATTCGATCCATCTTTAAGTCTCAGTTTGGTGCTTCGCTTGGCTGGAAAATTGCAGAGCCAACAAGAAGACGAAGATAGAGGAGTTGGACTGGCGTTAAAAATTGCCTTTGAATTTGGTAAATTGGAAACGTATACTGAAGTAAACACAGCAGCTTCCATGATTGAGAGAACAAGATCGCTTAAAAAAAAAATCCGAGCTTTTTAAGAATCTCCTTGTTAAAAATGTCACTGTGATGATGGTGATTTTTATCAGTGGGCATTAGTTTTTTCGGTTTGATTTGGTTAATTTCGGTTTATTGAAATTTCTGTGTTCGATTCATTTGCGTACTAATGCCAAGTCATCTAGTCCCTTGTTAGTATCCCTTATTCATCAATTTTGTATCATTGTATGTTCGTTTCGAAACTCAAAGTCTATTTCTTTCTTTCTTTAAAGTGCAAAATTTGATTTGGCCACGGAATATGTGTTTATAAATAAATCTTAAAGAAATAAACAGAGACTTGTTGAACAAATAACTTAACCAGCAAACACCACACATAAACTTCTCTTACTACTTATAAAACAAAGTTTTAAAAAGGTCTTAACTTAAGAATTTCAAACAGAAGAAGACATCACCATCAGGAAAAGGTAGACGCTTAAAACGATAACAAAATAAACCAGAGGATTCTTTCTTGAAATGGAGAAATTTTCAGAGAGTAAGTAACTCAATTACTCAGAGCATGCAATCAGTTCTTGCCGGAAGCCTCCTGAAGAAGTTAAGTGGAACAGATGGGAGCCTGTATCTGAGCCTCGGATGTCTAAGCACATACAAGCCAATGATAAGAGCCACAAGCTGAAAGGGAGTTACATATAGAACCACTGCAGCTATCAGACAGAACAAGACGAAGAGAGCAGTAGCACGTGGGTCACGCCAGCTCAGCAACGACTGGAGTCTCTCTCCTTGAGTTGCAAGATCACCAACAACTGTCTGAATCCTACCTGCAATACTCCTTAGTCTGTCATATCTCATCCTTACGATATCTGCTGGTCGTGAAGTAGGAAAAGTGTCAAACTCTTCGTCGAGCTCATCAGGGTGTGCTGAGTCAGCGTGTGAGAGACGTGTGTCCATGTGTGGAGGATGTCTCGGCCTCCAGCGATAGTTCCAAACTCCGATCAAGAAGAGGTAGAGGAAAACAGTGGGCAAGATGAGCTCAGGATAGACAACAAGGATTATGAACAAAATGTGGATTAAAACCGTTGTTATCGGATTCTTCCATACGCAGATTTGCTCAAACCATTTCCCTACAGCGATTAATCCACTTAAAACTCCCATTATCCTGAAGAAATTTGCCTTGCTTCTACGCATGCTCCACATGTGAGAACCAACATCAAGCATATACTCAACAACTTCTTTCCTCAGCGGCGGCTCAGCTCTTGTTAGCCTTGTTGACACAATCTGAGTGGCTTGATGCCTCAAGTTATCGAGCTGGCTAACTGTGAGAGGATGGAGGTAATGCATCTTCGGTAAGAGAGGCAGGGAATACATATACATCATGTTGAGCAATGAAGAGCAAGTAAACCTCACAGCTAAGTGAATCTCTCCCATTTTCTTGACTCCATTAGGATGTAGCACCAAAAGAGGATATGAATGTGTGTAGACGCGATCAGTCTCGAGGGTAGAGAGCCTAATCCTCACCTTCCCAATTCTCGAATCTTTTCCTCCTCCACCTCCATTGTTCTTGTCAGCACCGTGTAGATGGCAGTTATCAAACACACCAACGGTAACAACAGTACACGGATCGAAAACCTCCCAGGTATATTGCTCATTCCATCTCGGTGTAAAGCTATCAATAATTGTCCGAGTTCTAATCCATTTCTGCCCATACTTTGCAACACAGTATGCATCCGTGGCTCCCCTACCACCTTCTTTAGCTTTCATAGGCATTAAACCCGTTGCATTCAAGATCCCTAGTTCAAGCACACCGATGTTAGGCTTCCACAGTTGCTTTGCAGTTGGTCTAAGATCACTACTGTAATGTGTAGATTCATCAAGCACATGATACCCGCCTTCCAAACAAATCCTCATGTGAATCTTGCTGGAGAATTTGATCTCTTTCTTCTCTCCACTTTCCATTATAACATGCTTCTCGAGGTTAAACCACCTGCTGTTCACCGGTTTATAATCGAACCGTCTGTCCAAATACTGCAACGGAATTGCGCATCTCCCCAAGACTTCATCTTTGTTTGGTGCAACTCTATCTTCAACACTTAGAATCAAAGGCTCCTCAAATGGCTCAGCTACAACAAACATCAAATCCTCATTCCACATTGGGTTAATACCCCTGCCTTGAGACACTCTCGTCCTCAATGCCTGAGTTCCCATCATCACTTTCACATAAACTTCAGGATATCTTCCTTTATCGCTGGGTACCAAATCCTGAGCTTCGATGACATTAACCCTAAGATACCAAAGCTTAGGGGAGAGATAAACCTTAGACCTAATGTTGGCTAAGGCATCAGTTCCACTAACTGTTGCAGCATCTGAGTGCCAAGCTTCAGGGAAAGCTTCATCAGCTTGAGTACCAAACCAAACAGCTAACATAAGCTCACCTTTCACTTTTTGCCCTTTCCTATCTTCTAATCTATACCATTGAGGAGCTAAAGGACTATCAGGAGGCACTCTCTTAGGTATCTCATTCAAATCAAACACAACATGACCAATCAAATCATCTTTCACAAAGTCTTTGTCCTTGACAGTAGCTTCAAGGACAGAAGCTTGAAGCCTATCTTTCGAAAAGGCGAAAACTTGGTTCCACTCAGGATTCGATTTCTTCTCGAAATGCCTTGTGGTACCTTTGTAGTTTCCGAGCTTAACCTCGACATAAGGGTCACAACTACCAGTTAAGTCTTTACCAGGTAACTCTTTAGCCTTAACGACACGGACATAGAGATACTGCATTTGCTCGACGAGGTCATATGTGGACGTGAGCTTGTCTCCGGTGACTTTGCCTCCACCGAGATGAGGTTTAGTCTCCTTCAAGGAGAAATCTTCAGGAGGTGGTCTCTGCATCTTTGAAAGTAGAAAAGATTTGATTTTTCAGCGAGTGGGTTTCAAAGCACTAGATCTGAGTTAGATCTTGAAAAACAAAACCCCAGCAAAATGATTTAAACCGCCGAGAAAATCTCCAACTCCATCAGTGCCTTTAACGTTAAACCCCCAGAAAATAGAAAAAATAAAGAGTAAGGATCTTCTCTTCTTCCTCGTTAAAAGCAGAAGATAAGCACTGGGAAATTTCTAGAGAAAGAGAAAGAGGGCTTCAGAGCACATTGAAGTAGTGAGACAGAGAGGTGTGTTTTTGTAGTTTGTCTTCTTCCTACTTTTGCTTTTTTCTCCAGTTTTAATAGAAACAAATTGTTTTGAAATTTGGATTTATAAATGATTTTTTTATAAAATAGAAGAAAATATGTTTTTTGTTAATTATTCTAAATTATTTTTAGTTTTTAAACATTTCTGTAATAAAAATATGGTACTTTTTAATATATAAATTCAGTATGTTATCTATTTTGATATGAAAAGGATTAGAAAATATTAATTTTGAAATTTCTTAACTAGAAAATAAATGCACATTATAATTATTAGAATTTTTGTATGGCTATTACTTTTTATTGCAATTAAAATGATATAATTTTGTAAAATATACTTTCGTTGTTGAGGAGCTAGTTCCTTAATGCAATTTAAAAACATTTTAATTTCTCGAGTTAAATGGTAAACGAGAAACGACGCCGTTGAGATTCTTCGGTGAATGGAGTTCTCTTCCTCCAAGCGCCCGGCGACGACGGCGGCGACGGCGGCGAGTGAGTCTGTACATTTCCGCCTCCTATGCCCCGCCTCAAGGACTGGTGCAATAATCGGAAAAGGCGGCTCCGTCATTCGCCACCTCCAATCTGTAACTGGTTCCAAAATCCGCGTCATCGATGATATCCCCGTCCCTTCAGAAGAGCGTGTAGTGTTGATAATCGCACCAAACGGAAGGAAGGATCTTTCGAAGAAAGACGAGTCTAATGGTTGTGATTCGGAAAACCCACCAAGCTCGGAGGAGCCGAAGCAAGGCAAAGGAAACGAGTGTGTGGTGGAAGACAAATCCGGCGACGCGGAAGCGCCGTCTTCGGCACAGATGGCTTTAGTTAGGGTTTTGGAAAGGATAGTGTTTGGTGACGACGCTGCTTCTGCAGACGGTGTTGAATTGGACAAAACCGAGTGCGAGGGTTTGTGTAGGATGATCGTCAGAGGCAATCAAGTCGATTTCTTGATGAGTAAAGGAGGGAAGATGATACAGAGGATCAGAGAAGATAGTGGAGCTACTGTTAGGATTGCTTCCACTGATCAGATTCCTCCTTGTGCTTTCCCAGGAGATGTTGTGATTCAGGTAATAATAGAGCTTCTGTGATGAACTTGGTATCTTGGCGATTCAGTTTTTGAGTTATTTAGCTATGTTTTTTGTGTGTATAGATAACTGGAAAGTTCTCTTCTGTGAAGAAGGCCCTTTTGTTGATCACAAATTGTCTTCAAGAGAGTGGTGCACCTCCAACTTGGGACGAGTGTCCATTTCCGCAGCCTGGTTATCCTCCTGATTATCATTCTATGGACTATCATCAATGGGATCATCCTCCTAATCCAATGCCTGAAGACGTTGGACCTTTTAATAGACCCGTTGTTGAAGAGGAGGTCTCATACAGGCTGTTATGCCCTGCTGATAAAGTTGGGAGCTTGATAGGGAAAGGTGGAGCCGTGGTTCGAGCTCTGCAAAACGATACCGGTGCATCAATCAAGGTATCTGATCCGACTCATGATTCAGAGGAGCGAATAGTTGTGATATCAGCACGAGAGGTATGTGGATTCGATCCAAGGAACTGGTTTATGTACATCGTGTAGACTTCAGTTCTGTCTCTAATCGGTTTAAGTCTACATTGTTGTAGAACTTGGAGAGAGGGCACTCTCTCGCTCAGGATGCTGTGATGCGTGTGCATAATAGAATCGTTGAGATTGGATTTGAACCTAGTGCTGCAGTTGTTGCTCGGCTTCTTGTACATTCTCCGTATATCGGACGTCTATTGGGTAAAGGCGGTCATGTAATAAGTGAAATGAGGAGAGCCACTGGTGCTAGCATCCGCGTCTTTGCAAAAGATCAAGCTACAAAGTATGAATCTCAACATGATGAGATTGTGCAGGTAAATTAGATGTATCATATAGGTTTCATAAGTTTTCCACTTTCAGCAGTTTTCTTTTTGAAAATTGACAACATTTCGTTCCATTAGCAGATCATTGGCAACTTGAAGACTGCTCAAGATGCGTTGTTCCAAATAACAAGTAGGCTTCGGGAAGCAATGTTTCCTGGAAGACTTCCCTTTCAGGGAATGGGTGGTCCACCTCCTCCGTTCATGGGTCCATATCCTGAACCGCCTCCTCCTTTTGGACCACGGCAATATCCATCTTCACCAGATCGTTACCATTCTCCATTAGGATCATTCCATGGTATTTTTATCAATTCCTAACCCATTATCACCAGTTGATACTTGCATCTATCTCAGTTCTTGATAATGCCTACTTATTTCATATATCTCAGTTCTTTATATTGTCTACTTATTCCATACGATACAGAGAGGCACTGTCATGGTCCTGGATTTGACAGACCACCTTCTCCAATGTCTTGGACCCCACAGGTATGTGAAACCAATCTGTCTTTTATAGTTTGGATTCAGCAGCAAATGGTTATTATTCTTTCTGTTTCTACCATATATTTTCTTTCTGTTTCTAATTTAATTTATCTCAATTACCAGCCACCTATCGATGGCCATCCCGGTGGTATGGTTCCTGATGTAAACCACGGGTTTGCTTTGAGAAATGAGCCCATTGGCAGCGAGAATCCGGCAATGTCAAGCGCAAATGTGGAGATTGTGGTTCCTCAAGCATACTTAGGCCATGTCTATGGTGAGAACTGCAGTAATCTCAATTACATCAAGCAGGTCAGTCGAAACTCATCCGAGAATGGATTTATTTAGATGAAAGACGATCTTTTTGTTAAGGTTTTCATCTGAGTATCGTTTGTAAACCGAAACAAACAGGTATCAGGAGCGAACGTAGTGGTGCATGATCCAAAGGCAGGGACTACAGAAGGACTTGTGGTGGTCTCAGGGACATCAGATCAAGCTCACTTTGCTCAAAGCCTGCTTCACGCTTTCATTCTCTGTGGTCAATCTTGATTGCTCTCATTTTGCAAAGCGTTTAACAATCTTTACAATGATGATAGTCAAGTAGGAAGCTCTTCTCTACAAATCCAAATTTCTGATTGAAAAACAGTAAGTTCTTCTACTAATTGCTGTGGCAAAAACTTGTCCATCTGTTCTTTATCTGTTATCCAAACTAATACAACAATGTGCCTCAAGCTTTGTTGTATGTAAAATATCATATTGGGCCATGCGGACATTAAACTGTCTAGAAACCCTTAATCCCACCAAACCGCCTCTGACGTAATTTAATTGCTGGTTTACGCTGATCATTTCGTGCCACGATCTTAAGCGGATGAGCTTCTGTGTTGAAAACCCACTCGTCTAATGAAATAACCGATGGAGGAGAAAAGAGAAGATATAGATACTTAAGGGTCTCAGCTAAGAAGAAGCTTTGCATCTTGTTGTCTTTAGCACCTGTATTGACCTGAAAATGAAGAAGGAAACGTTAATAACATAAGTTTTTTTTTTTTTTTTGGAAGATGGAAATGAGTTTTTTTTATAAGAACCAACTTACATCCTTCAAGCCTACGTATCCAGATTCTATACGAGAATTCTTCTCAAATGCTTGAAATATATTCCATCCCCACTCTTGATATGTCTTGTTTCCAGTTAACCGCCAGAGGTAAAACAGCGATTCAACAGTTTCTGGTCTTAGGATGTTCCAAGATGTTCCAACACTCATGTCCTGAAACAAATCATGTGCATGCCGATATAACCAAACCAAACCAGCTAAGTTACAAAATGATTTTCAAAATAAAACCTTTTATTCACCAACCTGCCCTGCGTTGAAGAAATAATTCTCCCCAGCAAGTTTCGTTGGTGTCGATTGGTAAAAGTTATAACAAGTCCAGGCAAGCTGCAGTAAAGTGAAGAAAATTGCAATAATCAGAGAGCAGAAACTAAACTAAAAGCTCTCATAAGACATTTTGAGACTCTAAATGTACCTCTTCAGCGAGTTGAAGAAACTTTTTTTCTTCATCAGGACCATAACCTGATGCTCCTAAAGCCAACATCCCAGGAGCAAAGCATGCCAATTCATCCATCTGAATATTACATAAACAAGAAATAAACATCGACAATGTCAATCAAACAAAGCTCTCGAAGGAGAGAGAGAGCTGAAAGAAATTCGATAGTCTTTACCTTATCAATCAAATTATTTCCGTTCTTCTCACATATATATGTAAATGATGAGGGTGTTGATTTCTTGATCAAGGTTAACAAACCTTTCATAGATTTCTCCCACATTTCTCTGATTCATTGCCATAAGAAAGACTTAAGTCTTTATCAATTCTGCTAATATTGAAATACTTGGGTATATATATATACATCGTCGAGCTTTACTTACCTATATGGTTTTACTTCTGACGTTTTGTTCCCTTGCACCCAAACTTTGAGCAAATATTCGTAGAAGCTATAAAAAACCAAAATATTTATTAACTGTTTACAGAGCAAAGTCAGGATCAGAAGACCAAACCAACACAAAATTGACCAAATTACCTGTCTCCCATGGCACCAAATGTCGTGGTGGAGTACGATGGATTAGCATTATCTGGATTTATATAGATGGGAAGTAAACCATCCGCAGGAAAGTTCTTATTCAGTTCTGTAATAACCTTCTCTACCTGAGAGATGCAGAGTTAACAAACGAATCAATCTTAAGCAGCAAGTGATTTCCTCAGCATTAAGACAGGACTAATGCAGATATAATGCCCTTTCATAATTCCTTAGAATATAACAAATAATCATTGGACAAACTCAAAAATATTATCAATATGAAAGTAAAAGAGAAATGTACCTTCTGCTGATATTTTGGGTCCCCTGTCCTCTGGGAAAGGGCGATAAACTCGAGCTGCTCAGTGCCGGAATCTGCAAGAATGCTGTCTCCCTAGTACAGCAAAAAAATGTAACAATCAGATAAAACTGGCAGACTGCATGTACTAAATGAACGATCACACTAAAATACCGAGCATGTGATTGCTAGTGAAATATTATATAGTTGGCTAAGAAACTATAACTACCATCAACTCTAACACAAACTTGTTTAATTAATGTCTAGGCCTCAAACAAGAATGTTATTTGTTAAGACCAAAAAAAAAAGAAAAGAATGTTCATTGTTGCATAAAGAGAAACCAGAACATTCTGTTTCTGGGAGTCCAGATCTAAGTTTTTACACAGGGCTAAAGCCTCTTAAGAAAGTGTTCAGAATTTGGTTCTAACCTATCTACAGCCTCTAAAGACTTCTTTACAAACATAATCAGAACCTTCAACTAGAGAACACGAGCACTCAGCTGCTGGAGCAAATGGCTATTATCTCTAGAAACGACTAAGATTTACATCCAATGTTAAGGGCCTTTAAAGGATCTACATGAATAATTATTGTATTGTTCTCAAGATGACACTATACAACAGACAGAGCACTAAGTGTAATCTAGGACTCACCCCCGCCGCCCACGAAGGATTGTGAGCATTTCCACTTCTCAAGTTGATGATATTGTAAGGTATACCCGTTGGAGTGTTCCATGCAGGCAACAATCTGTCTGCAATGTCCTTAGCCTTTTCAAGGAAAAGTTTGTCCCCAGAAAGATCATATGCACTGAGAAGTCCGCCAACAACTCTGGAAGCAAATAAAGAGAAACAGCATAAGCAGATGCAATAAATCCGTTCCACATCTTATGTCAACTAAGAACCAACTAATAGTCGCAATTGATCTGACTCTTCCTATGACATATACAGAAAACAACCACAGTAAACCTGCTAAAGCAACCTTATGGTTGTCTCAAACATGCTGGCGTCATAATCCTTGTCGAAATCCAATGAGCTGGCAACCCACCTGAATATAAAACACAATAAGCAAACGAAGATTGGCAAAGACGGACAAGAAAAAAAAAACTGGCAGTTGTTAATGAAGACGAGAACAGTTATGTGGACGCATTATCATGAAGCGTCTGAAGTTAGTTACTCACTCTCTGGCTTTTTGAAACTGATCATCTAGGCCCATTATATAAAGTGTATCTAAAGAATCTATCATAGTTGCTCCAAGGCCACCAAAGCTATCAGCGCCATCTTTAGTCCGAGGCTAACAATAAAAAATGAAAAGAAAACAAGAATAGCTTCAGACCAAAAGATTTTTTTGCAGAGTTCAGGAAGAAAATAATCTTACTACTTAAACAAGAACAATACTTGCAGGCCTATGGAAAATCTGGTAACTTCAGACAAGTTCATGGCAAAAGGCTCACCACAACATTCAAAGAGGAGGCACCAAATGTCATGACTAATATTGATTTGAGATCCAATCGTCACTACATTATGTATTGGCAAGGGTGAAATTAATTTGGAAAATAATTTTATACCTGAAGCTCATCTTTTCCCCATGCATACTTCTCATATGAGCTCCAAGCATGGATCATTGCCTCTTTTACTTTCTGCCTTCGCTCGATATCAACTGGATCTTCTGGAATATCCCCCAGAGTCTTCAAAGGTTTAGCACTGCCAACACCTTTAAGCTCTTCTAACTAACAGAAAATATAGTTAGTCAGATAAAGAGTGAATAGTCCTCAAAATTCATTAGGTCTCAAGCTACTCAGTGTTTATCAAATACCAAAAGGCCTTGACTTGCATATTTACAGAAACAAAAACCACATTGCAATACAATGTTGAAGAAAAGACGCAAGGGTCCTGAGTTAACAAAATAATCATCGAATGCTATAGAGTGAGAGGAAAATATCCATCTTACCATCTGTTCCAACCGTAAAACTTCTTCATTTAATTTATAAATTTCAACCTGCAAGACAGAAAATTTGTTAAACAAGAGAATCATTCAGACATTCACTTCCTTGAAACAAAAGTATCATCACTTCTAATATTATTTTGATCTAACGAACACTAGTTTCTTCCGGAGGAATTTATGAAATGAGCCCCAAACCATTAATTACAAATCTTTTCTAGCAAAATAGGGCACCATTTTCTGGTGAATCCATAATTAACTTACTTTTCTAACTTTATAGGCCTTAAGCTACGAAGGAAATAAACACATACCAGGCCTAAAACGTAGGCTACTTTGTAAAATTCGATAATGCTTATCGATACTAAAAGTGTCTCTTAGACAGAGAGATTCAGAGTCTATCTAGATTCCATGAAGAGACAAAACATACCTCATGTTCTCGGGTAAGATTAATACGATCCCAAACCACCATAGAAACAGATACGAACACGATGAAAAGCAAAGCTAAACGCCTTGGCCTTCTGAGATAATACGCTGGATTCAAATATTTCCATATCCCAGAGCCACTAATCGATCTACTTCTCGCCATCTCACCCACTCAGCAAAAACAGAGACGAATTGGGAAGTCAGTTTCCATGAAACAGAGGAAGCAAAAGAAGCGAAAAGCTTTCAAATTTCAAATCCTCTGATCCGAGAAAGAGTAAAACAGAGAGAAATCAGATGAGCTTTTTCAAAGAAATCGAAGTTATAGATCCGATTTAAGTTTAGCAGGAGGAAGAGACGAAGAAAGAATAAAAGGAAAAAACTCAAGTCTTTAACACACCATAAAAAAAAAAAATATATATTATTTATTTATTTGTCCGTCACTTTTCTTTATTTATTGTTTTTCTGATAAAATAATAAATGGAGTCTCTTTAGCCCCAAATGGTTCATTTCACCGCTCCGTCTCTCTCTCTCTCTCTCTCTCTCCTTCTTTCTTCGATTTCTCTCACTCTACAAATCGCCTCGCCGATATAAACCCGCCGGTGCTCCGGCCGTTCGTCTCTCATCTCCTTTTCCGGACGTTGTTCATCGCTACCGAGCTTGAAATTGTCATCTTCACCGTTTCCGTCGCGTTATTTGATTTCTTCGTTGGGTCTTCATTCTTGTCTTCCGGTGTTCCTCCCACGAATAGGTACCTCACACGAACTATTATCATGTTTCCTTCGTCAAATGAGAAAGCTAATCTCAAGAGTGGAAGTGTGTACTCGTTTTGGGTGGCTTTGTTGCAGGATTTGCTTTTGTTTCTTAGGGTTTTTTTTTGCCTAAATTAAGTGTGGGGGTTATGGAATTGGTATGATAAGGTCTGTGTAAATTCTTAAAACGTGGAAAGCTAGAATTTTTGGTTGGATCTGATTGATGCTAACAGGTTTTGTTGCTTGCTAGTTTAAAGTTTGTTGCTTCTTTTATCTTTGAAAATATAGGTTTTTGGTTGTTTTCACTTGAGAAGATGCTGCCCTTCTACACTGACTTTTAATGTTTTTCATTAAGCTTGAAGTCTGTGTTCATCTCTTGAAAACAAACATTAAATCCACAAGATGCCTAGGTGTTTATATATGAAATTTTCTACTTTTAATGTAAATTTATGAACCAGGTAAATTGATGAAAAGCAAACATGGATGACCTTCATGAAAACAATGCTCGAATGCACATTGGAGAAGCTCAAGACCCTATGCATGTTCAATATGATCATCAGGCTTTGAACCACATCCACAATGGAAGCGGTATGGTCGATGACCATGCTGATGATGGTAATGCTGGTAGGATCAGTGAGGGAGTGGAAACTGACATTCCTTCTCACCCTGGAAATATAACTGACAATCGTGGTGAAGTGGTCGACCGTGGTAGCGATCAAGGAGATCAATTGACATTGTCTTTTCAGGGCCAAGTCTACGTTTTTGACAGTGTCTTGCCTGAAAAGGTGATTGAAGTTGATACTGAGTTGGTTCTTTGATTGTCTCGTTACATTTTGATCTGTTTTTGAGTATTAGTGACACTGCAGCATGTGGTTGAAGGATCTAGTTTGTTTGTAATCGAGTCTAATTTGCGAGCGCCTCTCACTTTCTTTTCAACATCTGAAGCAGGTGCAAGCTGTGCTTCTATTACTGGGTGGACGTGAATTACCTCAGGCACCCCCTACAGGCCTAGGATCGTCTCATCAGAATAATAGGGTACTGGTAAGATTTTGATACCATTTTTGGGGCGTAAGCTCACTTCCTTGGTGCGTTGCTGACTAATCAATGAAACAGGGTTTACCTAATACTCCTCAAAGGTTTAGTATGCCACAGCGGTTAGCCTCTTTGGTCAGATTTCGAGAGAAACGAAAAGGGAGGAATTTTGATAAGAAGATTCGGTATACAGTTCGCAAGGAGGTAGCTTTGAGGTACATTTATGTCTAAATCAACAACTTGGTCTAGTTATACATCTATTGAGATTGCTCTCTCGTTACTAAGGTTTGCACCTTGATTGATTTTTTTTCTCCGGTATTCAGGATGCAACGCAATAAAGGTCAGTTCACATCTGCCAAGTCAAGCAATGATGAAGCTCCATCTGCTGGATCTAGCTGGGGGTCGAATCAAACCTGGGCTATAGAGGGTAGCGAGGCTCAGAATCAAGAGATCTCGTAAGTTAATAACGGCTTTGAATGTAAACTGCAAGTATCTGACTTAGTTATTAACCTGGACCAACTTAACGTAGAGATTATGGGTTTGCTAAGCACCTTTAGAAGTTGTTTTTGCTTCCAAAAAACATAGATGATTGGGTAGGACAGGTGGTGATGAACGAATCTTTGTTTCTTGGAAGAGGATAATAACTTTGGAGGGAATAGACAGTTTTCATTTGGGTCTTTGTAGATGATGAATAAAATTTTCTAGGCATAGCCATTCTGTAGTTGATTAAGAACATACTGATCTTTTTTCCTTCGAATGGTTCTGGAAACTGTAAGATGTCGACACTGTGGAATCGGTGAGAAGTCAACTCCAATGATGCGGCGTGGACCTGAAGGGCCAAGAACACTTTGCAATGCATGTGGACTAATGTGGGCGAACAAGGCAAGCTAATACTTATTTATTAATTGATCAACTCACTCGCTCTCTACATTGCTCATTTTGTAGCACATTTGATTCATTGACTTGTCTGTCTAAATGACGACACATAATTTCAGGGTGCTCTTAGAGACTTATCCAAAGGTGCTCCTCAAACAGCCCAAAATCTTCCGTTACATAAGAATGAAGTAAGCAACGTCATGTCTTGACCAAACTTGCCAAAACGAATTCTTTCGTCTTTATGGGTACAAGTTTATTATAGGACATATGATCTTATCTTTGCAGGATGCAAATCTTGAGGCTGATCAAATGATGATAACAGTGGCCAGTAACATAAGCAACTCACAGTGAGAATACTTTGGCCCTTGCCATTACAAGCAAGAGAAGATCTCAACAGAGTTATCATCAGGCCGTGTCTATGTAATGGATTAAAAAACATTGGCCTAGGGCCTAATTTTAATAAGATACTCTTGAAAAGTTTATTTTTTCCAAGACATACAGTATACTATAACTTGAAGCTCTCATTTGTATTGTTGAAGATTAAAAGAGAGATTTTAAAAGAGAGATGCCAAGTTTTTAATTTTCAATTTCACATTTAAAAAAGCATTTAAAAAGGAAATGAAATATCAAAACAAACTTAGGTTAAGATATTTAAAAAAAAAAATCTATTTATTGCTAGTGATAATAGCTGCCAAAGTAAAATGCCAAACAAAAAAAGAGAGAAAGAAATCTTTCAGTAAGATTGTGACTGCTACTTTTGTTTTCAAGGGCAGAAAAGATTTTTCTATAAATTTTGTTGTCGATAGGTTCTTTGACAATATCCCAATGCTCAAAGATATTTTATACTTGTTTTCATACAAAGTTTGCAATTTATTTTGTAGGAAATATCAGGAATTATCTCATATTTTCAGGAAAAACTCTTAAGATTTCATTTTTAGAAATAATATTTGACTTATTCAATTACCAATTAGAATTTTAGATGTCATGTATAACACCTCAGTTTTCTTTATGACAGTCATTCCATTTTTCATTTGACAGTCATTCCATTTTTCATTTGTGAGCTAAGCTATCAAAATAAGAGTGAAAAAAGAGAGGATATTCTGATATTATATCTTTGATTCTTTATGGACAGAAAAAGTTTACATCTAGTTATGATTGTGAATAATTATAACAAATGACCAACTTTAGACTCGTATTTGCAAGAATGACCATGCACTATTTGGGTAATTGTTCAATCTATCTATTCTATTAAAACAGAAGCATTTTTAGTGCTTGCATCTAAACACTCCCAAAGTTTTTTTTTTTTTAAATTGTTTAGAAACTGTTTTAAAATTATCCTATTTTGTTGTAATATTATTTTAAAAACATATTTTTATATATAAATTTTATTCTGAAAAATAGATATTAATTAAAATAACTCTATACTTCCTTAAATATAGGTTAGATTTGATTTAACATTTGAAATTTAAATAATTTCAAAATAACACATATATGATTAACGAATTTTTTTTTTCAATCATATTCAATCAAACTAAAATTTCATATATTAAAATCTGATAAATATTAATACTATATAATAATTTGATGGGATGAGTTAGATATTTTTTATAATTGTGCTATTATACGGGTTAGGTTATTAAAACATGCTGGATATTAAGATAAAAATTATTTCAAAATTAGTAAATATTTATATTATATAGTAATATAAACAAGTGTGTTAGAATTATGGTCTTTTAACCATGATTCTTTTCGGATTGATAAAATAAATAATTTAGAAATATATTTTTATAATAATAGTCATTAGTTAATAGAATGGTCGGATTAGAATTATGGTTTTGTTATAGTGTCATAATAATACTAAAAAGGAACTAAAAACAAATTATAATTAAACGCAAACAGAATTTTCTGTCATTTATTAGAAAAAATAAATCTATAAAGAAAACATAAATTTTGTTACAATTTTAACTAAAAAAAATCTTATGCGGATGCACGGGATAAAATCTAATATTTTTTTAATACCAATACATCCCTACACTCCTCTACTCATGTCTATCATATTTCTTTCTCTTTCTCTTTCTCATTTTCCTTTCTCTTTCCTTCGTCTGTATTTTCTTATGCCTTTATGTAAATTTTTTTCACTTTTATCTTCTCCATCGTTCATCTCTCTATTTATTTAAGTTTCTCTTATAATTTTCTTCACATTCATCTTCAAGATTGTATGCTCAAAAAAATATTTTCCAACAATATAAAATCACCATCACAAATCTGCTTATTGGAAGCCAGATCTAAAGTTAATTAGATATGATCAAAGCTGGTTAAAATTTCACCTCTAATCTGAACTTTTAATAAAAAATTAACATTGATTTGATTTCTTTGTAAGTAAAAACAACTTCGTGTTCAATTGCTACAATAAACAATGATCCTATTAGATTGATGCTAACATATATAATTGTGTGTATCTATCTGAATTACTCTTATAATTTTATTGTTAAACTGCTAACAATACATATAGAGTGTTATATGTATTTGTAGCGCACTAACTACCAAAATAACACATGTAGCAATCTAGATAATTCATTATTGTTATCAATCTAACATATTTTTTACCTTGTTACTTATAAGGTTAGACGTTAATTTATATGTAACATGCTAAGTATATCAATAACATCTTTAATCATTTATATAACTCATTATTGTTATCAATCTAACATATTTTTTATCTAGTACAATATAATGTTAGACGTTAATTTATATGTAATATGATGAGTATATCAATAATATCTTTAATCATCTATATAACTAATTATTGTTATCAATCTAACATTATATTTATCGTGTAAAACATAATGTTATATTTAAATTTATATGTTTATATATGATATAATAACTGTTAATCTATAACAAAATATATAACTTGTTATTATAATGTATATGACATGTCTGGAGGAAAAAATGTTGATTTTTTCCTGTGATTTTTTATTCAAAGATATTGCCTACTCTACTTATATTTTTAGTTACCATATCCAAAATTATGATATTTATTGTCAGACGTTTTTGTTGTGAGGAAATATATGAGGGGCAATATTGTTTTTGCTGATGACCAAAAATACAGTAAATTCAGTTTTTGGTGGGCTTTTGGTCATTCTTCCAATTTCCACTCCAATTTGGTATATTGAGTTAATTGAAATATAAAGACTTTATAATCCTTATTTTCTTTTCTTTCTCTGGGTCAAATATTGTTTTTTTTTTCTATTTTTCTTACGATAATTCATTTTGTTATTTGTCGAAAGATAGGATTTTTCCGGGTGTAAAGAACCAAAAAAAAAAGATCTTTTGCTTGTCTTCTGAACTTCATGGGCAACACGCAGAGAACAAACAGACCTCCGCCGAGACCTATCACTGTGAAATAATCACCACGAAAACGAAACTAAAAATCAATTTCCTCGTTTTCTGACTCTAAACTCTTCTTCTCGTTTCTGTTTCTTACCGATTCCCAACTCTCCGGGACCAAAAAAAAAGAAGCTTTCTTTCTCCTTTTGGGCATCTTTTTAATCCCGGGAAAAACCCGTAACTTATTTTCCTGGAAAGACCCATACTTGCATGCTCTAACGACTCCAAAATGCAATCATCGCATCGCCTTTTCTCCCGCCTCATTCATTCTCCAGGAAAGGGTTACAGCAGAGCAAGTGTCGGCGGCTCACTTCACTTATTGTGGCAATTCGATGAGAAAAACGACGAAGCCGTAGAAACTCATCGGAGTTTTAGCTCTCTTATCCGTTCTAATCCGCAGTTAAGAGGGTTTCTCTCCAGGAAAGGTGTTGGTGTGCGATGTTCTGTTTCGCTCGATAGAGATACTCCTTTAATTGATTCGTATTCCACTCGCCGGAGTATGTCTTCTCCTTCGTTGACCTAAAGTTTTCAATTTTTGTGCTTTATTGGTTTACTGAGTGATGCTGAGTGTGGAGAATTTTTTGTCTTTTGGGTTTGTTCGTATTCAGATTTCTTCACTCGGGCAAAACAAGTGAAGAGAATTGAGATCAGTGACCAACATAGGTAATGCTCGTTAGTGTTTTGCTTGTAATGTGAGTAGTATCAGTTTGTGATCATGTTATGTATGTTTGGTTTAAGTAGTTCTGTTTTCTATTGGGATGTGGTTAACAAAAGCATGGAAAATTGATTACATCTATTGAATTCCCGTTAGCTAGATACATTTGGTTGTTTTGAGTTCGAAAAATGAAAACTTTTATCTGTTGTTGTATCCTCATGAAGATTCAGTCTGGTTTTTTTTTCTTTTTGGGGTAGAATCCTGTGTTAGCTAGCTTCTATTTTGGGATTAGTTTCATAGTTTTTGCTGTGGTTTTATAGTGCTGTTTCTTGGTGTAATGCCTAAGTTCCCTGAGTCTATGAATCATGATAAGAGATAATTTTACATGTACTTGGCATGCTTCTCAACTTGTGAAGCTCTTTTAGCTATATCTATTTTCGGTGTCTTTTTCCTGAGCTATGTTTTCGTGAACATCTTGCAGTCAAAGAGCTGTCACTACTGCACTATGGTGCAACTTCCTTGTGTTTTCACTTAAGTTTGGAGTTTGGTGGACAAGTTCGAGCCATGTCATAATGGCTGAAGTAGTTCACTCCGTTGCTGATTTTGCTAACCAGGTTTGTTGCTATTATATTTTTCTTTTTTTTTCTGTCCAGTTTAATGTATTACCTATTGAGTGAAGAGAAACTGATAAATTTTGATGTTATAGGCACTTCTTGCTTATGGACTCAGTAGCTCGAGGCGTGCACCCGATGCACTTCATCCGTGAGTCTTCATTGATCTTATAGTTATTATATGGTTTTGTAACAGAACAGGTTTCTTTTGTTTCAAAAATTCTTAGACCAACTTCTGTTTTTTTTGCTCAGCTATGGCTACTCAAAGGAAAGATTTGTATGGTCTTTGATATCTGCCGTTGGCATCTTTTGCCTTGGTTCTGGTGCTACCATAGTTAATGGAGTACAGAACTTGTGGACTTCTCAGGTAATTTGGCTTGAAACATTTTGTGGCGTTGATGTCACCTGCTAATTGATCGTCTAGGTTATTAGATATTCTTTGCACATTTCCTCGGTTGTCTATGCTGGATCCTCATCAGTTTTGATAATCGTTATCAGCCACCTCCAAATATGGAATATGCTGCTTTGGTAATTGGTGGCTCTTTTGTAATTGAAGGTAATAACTTCTTCTTGATCTTTCTGCATCTTGCTATGCTTCAAGCCTACACTCTCAATGCTATTTGTTAATCTCTTATTCTTTTAAAGGTGCTTCACTTCTCGTTGCAATTCAAGCCGTCAAAAAGGGAGCTGCACAAGAAGGCATGACCGTAAGAGATTATATATGGCGTGGTCATGATCCTACTTCTGTTGCTGTTATGACTGAGGTATTACTTTATTCTTGGATCAGTTTTTAAATATGTTGAGAAACAGAGGCAAACGATTGTTGTTTAGAGTGAATCGTTGAAAATCACTGCTAAATATATCATGTTTTATAATTACCTGTTGGTCAATATTGTAAACACGCAGGATGGCGCTGCAGTGACAGGTTTGGCAATTGCTGCAGCATCTCTTGTTGCTGTTAAGATGACAGGGAATCCCATCTATGATCCTATAGGATCGATTGTAGTTGGAAATTTACTTGGAATGGTATTTTTTGGACTCTCCTTAACTTGTTGATATTGATACTCTATATTACATTTTCCGAACCTATGAGTATGGATTCTCTTCTAGGTGGCTATATTTCTCATTCAACGGAACCGACATGCCTTGATTGGAAGAGCAATGGATGATCAAGACATGCGTAAAGTTCTTCAGTTTTTGAAGAACGACTCGGTACAAATCCTTCTTTTCATAGTTCAGAAATCTTATATATGTAATGGATATGAAGGTGAGTTCTCGGATTCAGATAAGAAACTTCTGGTGAGTAGGTTGTAGATGCTTTATATGATTGCAAAAGTGAAGTGATTGGTCCTGGATCCTTCAGATTTAAAGCTGAAATAGGTGAGTTTCTTGAACTGTTGTTTTTCTCCGCTCTCAGAGGATTGCACTGTTCCCTTAATTTGAAAATAAGAAACTTAAAGGCCAAAACCTTAGCGATTGAAGATAATTCTGTCCTACCTCTGATTTCTGGAGTGATTCCACTGTGTTGTTGTTAACTTGCTATATGCAAACAGATTTTAACGGGCAGGTTGTTGTCCAAAACTATCTGAAGAGAACTGGACGTGAAGAGTGGGCGAAACAGGTAACTAAATTTGCAGCCTGTTAAAGTCATAGCTATGTCTCTTTAGCTGATGAACATTACTATCATTAGTTAAATTGTATATGGTTAGTTACTTGAAAATCTGATTGTGTACTTGTTCAGTTTCGCGAGGCTGCAAAGAAAGGAGATGATTCTGCAATGCTCAATATTATGTCAAACTACGGTATGGAATGCACCAAGTTCTTCAACTTGTGGTTTTGTCATAGTTTATATATGTTCAGAGCTTGAAGATAACCTGAGTAATCAATCTGTTGCAGGTGAGGAAGTTGTAACGGCTTTAGGAAGCGAAGTAGACCGGTTAGAGAAAGAGATCCAAGAGCTTGTCCCTGGAATCCAGCACGTTGACATCGAAGCACACAATCCCATAGACCAATCTCTATTATCTTAAAAAAAAAGAATAATTTGCTTTCTTCAAGGTTTGAGTTATCGATACAATTAATTGGCCTCAAGAAATGCAAGTCACAAGTATGGTTGCAGACTTGCAGTAAAAGCCTGGCCGCTTGGAGAAATAGAAAGAGAGTTATTTCAGTTGTCTGATTGGCAAAACATGCATATGGATTCTTCTCTGTCACGTTTCTGATATAGTAGAAGTCTCATGACTGTGACTTTAAAATTCTATGCCCTCAAACAAAAAAGGCTTGTTACTTGTAGAAACGTTTTGTGTAATTCAGATAGACATTATTATTATTATTTTTTTATGTACACAAAACTAGTGTTTTGGTACTTCGTTTTCAGTATTTAGTGAATTGGTGTATATATAAATTTGCATTTAATCACTACAATATAATCAAATTAATCAAGTATCGTAGGATTAGTATATGACAAAATTACAAGCATAATTTAACTAGGAAAAAAAAAAATGAGTACCACCATCGGCCGATCGGCGCTAATAAGGTAGATCTGCCCATGTCTATTGCAGAGAAAAGAACTCGTATGAACATAGCTTTTTGTCTTGATCAAACCATAGAAAACAAAAAACGAAAGTCTCTTGTCTTTGTCTACTGAACATTGGAATAGATACAAGTTGTTCGAAGAAAATCAGCTAAAAAGCAAGTTGATTCATATTTAACAACCGCAACAAAATGGTATCCACCAAGAGATGTTGACATTGTCTTAAAATTTCTACAGAGGTATTATAATAATTACGTTTTTTTTAAAAAAAAATTGTATTATAATGATTACTTACACGAACACGATCACATTCTATCGTGGAAACGCGTAAGTTGACATCCACGAGAGAAGTTGAGAACTTGAGATTGTCTTAAAAGAAGTTGACTTGGAAAAATTCCTATGCTCTTTAGCATTATATGGCCTTGGTGTTTCTAATAAACAGCCAGCAGACAAACAAGTTGCATTCTTGGTAATGGCGGAAGTGACAGGCCTGAGGCGTCTCGTCTCTAAGTTTATTTGCTGTGTGCACAAGATCAAATTATTTAGGAACTTTTAAGTTACATCCAGTACATTCGTTTTTGCTAACCATTTTTATATGCAGGTTATGCAGACGATGATCCGATTGAATACGAACCGTATGTGTACATTCCAGCGAATAGTTACAGCTACTCGCAGGTTACGAAAATTACCAACAACTTCAATAGAGTTCATGGAAAAGGAGGGTTTGGTGTAGTTTACCATGGAGTTTTTAAAAACCAACAAGTAGCAGTAAAGATGCTAAACCGAGCATCCATCTATAACATTGAACAGTTTACTAGAGAGGTAATTTGGTTTTAAACCAAAGAAGAAGAAAAAAAAACAAGGGCCAATTTATCATCAGATATTCATCAGTTGACTATTTTCTTGGTGGATCAGGTTCATGACTTTGTAAAAGTTCGTCACAAAAACTTGGTGAGTCTCATTGGGTATTGCGATGACGGTGAGCACTTGGCCTTAATCTACGAATTCGTGGCAAATGGAAACTTGAAGGATCATCTATGTGGTAATGAACTACAATATCTTGTTCTGGTTTGTTCATCAACTTGTACGAACACCAGAAGATAACCAACCACATTTGCGTTTTCGATCTAACAGGGAAGTTTGGCCATGTCATTAGCTGGGAAAACAGATTGAAAATCTTCATCGGAGTAGCACAGGGTATATAACTTAAGTTTCAGTGATAGGTTCTCTCATTTATGGCTAAAACTGATATTTGTTAAAGTGCATTCACGTACAGGCCTGGAGTATTTGCATAGCGAGTTAAGAATCCTTCACAGATACGTTAAGCCTACAAATATCCTACTAGACGAAAACTTTGAAGCGAAACTGGCTGATTTTGGGCTGTCTAGATCCTCACCAACAAACCCTGACATACAGGCGTCAAACAAGATTTATGTTAAACCTGGAAGAGATCCATACCTACATGATCAGTAAGTAGAAGATAAAATAAATTCCTTACTGAAATTTTAATGGACTCTTATCAAGATGTTACCATTAGTGATTATAGCCTTGATTTTTTTTTTTTTCTTTTTTAAAGAATGTGTGAGAAGTATCACACATGGGAAATTGAGAGGGACCTTGAGTATTTTATAACAGACTTGAGCCAATCCATTCATTGCTAATTGGTTTTGAATGGATTGGCTCAAAGTCTCTTATATACTACTATTCAAGATCTCTACTAAATTATTTCTCACACAATCCACAGAGATTACGGCTCATGGCCCAAAAATCTCTAAATAATCCTTAATAAGCTATTCACTGTGCGTATTGGGTAATGCAGATACTTCAACTCGAACTGGTTAACCAAAACAAGCGACATTTATAGCTTTGGCATCGTTCTTTTGGAGATGATAACAAATCAGCATGTGGTTGACGTCAACCGTGAAAGTCCTCACATTTCCAAGTGGGTCGATCAAAAGGCTACGAAAGGCGATACTCTAGAGATGGTTGATCCCAGGCTTAACAGTGACTTTGAGCCTAACTCAGTCAGGAAAGCTATGGAGTTAGCACGCGCTTGTGCAGCTCCTGCTAGAAATAGGCCAAGAATGAGCCAGGTTGTTATAGAGCTCAATGAATGCCTGGCCTTAGAGATGGCTCGTGATCATGGAAGAACTTGAGAGGCAACTCAAGGTTCTCCTGGTTTATGTTGTTGTATATGTTATTATCATCACTTTGTGTGTTATATGTGTACACAAAACTAGTCTCTCGTTATTTGGTATTATTTAGAGAAACGAAAGTCTTTGGTCTTTGTCTAATCAACACATCATTGGCATATACACTAGTTAAAACACCAAAGTTGATTCATACATACACTTTGCGAGAGCACACAAAAATGAAATCAAGTTGACACTGTTTTAGAAGAGTCGAATTGGACAAAACTCTTGTGGTGTTCAACTAGCAAGTAACGTAAGCTGCAGTTATTGAAAACAGAGTTTCTCTCATCATAGCTGAAACTGAAACTTGTAATGTGCACCATTTCGTTCAGGTCTAGAGTCTTTACAGGTATATCACAGGTATGGAGTCTTTAATTAACATATTTGTATACATATCACAATGAACTTAATTTCAGATTCGATAAAAGATCGGATCACATTGTTGTTATTGAGTTATATAACATGGTTATCATACAAAAGAGAAGTCCATCAAGACCCACCCAAAAAAAAATCGTTGTTGAGGTTAAACCTTTTACATGTAAGATCCATACGTTGACAAAAAGAAAAAAAAATTCCAAAACCTAATTAACAAATCTCTAGTAAGTAGCCAAAACGAAAAGATCCTGAAAAAGTTAATCTGCATCAAAAAGCCTTTAGGCAAAGCCTTTATGAATTTTTGGGAACTAGAGCAAAACAAAGCTTTCCTTGTCCTGAACGGAAAGACCAGACATGATAGATGTCACCTACTTTAAACTTGTTGGCTGTAACCACATTCCACCAACGAGTATTAAAGACGTAAACCCAGATTCCATTCATCTTCCATTTCCTAAAATCAACGACATGCCTCTTCGACAAAGGATCCACAAGAACCACACTTAAGCCTGTCGTCTTACGAGTCTTACGAGTCGACGACAAGTATTTTTTGTGTATAATTCTTGTCTCTTCGTCCGTCAAAAAGTTGGTATTCACCAGTTGGTTTATAGGCATTTGGAGACGATTTTTGCCTTTGTCGAGATCGCTCTGAAACAGGGGCTTTGTTATGATCAGCTTTGGATCGTGTCCGTTATATTCTCTCATCACGTTCAAGAGCCACCCGGGCGGATTCATCGTCTGCGTGGGTCCAAAATCTAAACTACGAACGATTTTGAGTTTCTTGCAGGAGATGTTAGTAGGAGGACATTTTTTCTTGCTGCACTCGGTGATGCAAGAAGAAGGAAGAGATTCAGGGTCCCAATCTAGGTTTTCTAGTACTTGCTTCTCTTTTGTTGATGTCGAAGATGATCCCACCTTACAACGACCTATGATTTTGCGTTTCTTAAAGCTTCTATCTTCTTCTTCTTGCTTGTAATCCACGCAAGCAGTTGATTTCTGACTTCTCTTCTTTTTTGGTGTTTCGTGCTCTAACATATCAGAAGCGACTTTAACCAAAATCTCTAGCTTCGAGTTGCTACCATCCCTGAGGTTGTAATCAGGTTTCACTCCTGTTGAAGAAGAAGAAGACGATTTAGACTTGTCTTCCTCACTGGTCATAGTACTGTATTCTTCGGCTGCCACATCTGCCAAAATATCCAGCTTCCAATATTTATTCGACTGTGATGAAAACTCCCGATAATAATCATCTTTCTTCATTCTTTGTCAACGAAAGAATACTGAGAATCAAAGAAAATCGAAGAAGAACTGAGTCAGCTCGAGAACAAGAAATTTTCCTATTCCAAAGAGAAGAAGAGTTTAGAGAGCCCTAGAGAGAGATAATTCGTCAATGAAGTCTTGTATAGGTTAGGGTTTAAGTAGGTTAGGGTTTAAGTTATATGACATCATAATTTCTATTTGTTTTTTTCTTTAATTAATGATGTACTTAGTCAAATCAGGCCGTTAACGAGCGTTATCTGACTTTTTCCTAAAAACTGTGAACCAAAATTCCTATTTATATTTTTATTTTAAAATAAATACAGTACAAAGCCGTTTTGGCTTTTACCTAAAAGCAACAACTAATAAGACTTGTCCACAGAAATCATGCGAAGAAAAAAGAATATTAGCTTCTCACTAGAATCAGAGGTGTCTTCGTCACCGGTTAGCTCAACTGTTGGGTCATCTGGTCCTACTAAAACCATACCGGCATCGACTTTGGAGAGCAAGATCGTTGTGGAACCGCTTTTCTGGCCATTTGAGCACAAGCTTGACTAGATATATTGAAGCATATCTCCATGTTTCCTCGGAGAAAGAACTCACTAGGAACCAAAATTGCAGGTATCTCCCAAATCAATGACGGCACAACTCTAAACAAGAAAGCTAGATCTCAAAGAATGGTGTAAAAGAAAGCTCATGCTCATCGGTCCTAGATCAAATTCAGTAAACCAGAAAGCTGTGGAGATAGCACTCACTCGTGCAGTTCATATAGGTGGTAATCGGCTTAGGATGAGTTGCGTTGTTGTAGAGCTCAATGAGCCTAAGAGATGGCTCGGACTCATGGAAGAACAGGGGAGATCACTCAAGAGACTTGGTGATCGACATGACCTTAATGAATTCAGTAATCTGGCCTTTTGTGTTTTTGGAAATTCTGAAACATCTTGTCTTCGCTGCTTTTATTACTTCTCTCTAACAGAGTAAAAGATAGATCGCATATTCAATTGCTGCATTTTACAGTTGTTGATTTTCAGAATTGTTGAACAGCAAATCAATTGTCTCGCTGTATCCTTTCCTCCTAACTACTAGTAAGCTATCCGCTAAAGACCATGGTTATATATTGAATAGGATGCAAAAGCTATGGGCCAATAGAATCAGAATGTAACTTACAAAAGTTTTCTTTTCCTAAACAAGACAACCCCAATGAGAGAACACTTGACTAAAATCGAACTGGTATCGAGCTAAACTTTATCAATAAACAACCCAAGAAAAACCTGGTAACTAAATTGGCTTACACTTGGTGACAAGACCTTTCCATGGATTTTTCTGCTTCAAAGATCACTTTTTGTCAAAACATTTCCCTCATAAGTTTCCACCAGACAAGTTCAGCAAAAGCACGAATACGCCAAATGGTTCTTCTTTGAGATGTAAGGAGATATGTAATCAGTTGAAAGACCGGATGTTCCTGAGATCTCGGCTGGAACCAGAACTTGAGGCTTCCCTAAAGCTATCCTTTTTCCAACTGTATTTGCGTAAAACAGACCAGGAATGGCTGGCACAAATACGTCACTCTTCGAACTTATGTAGAAGTCAATAACATTTTCATACTCGGAATTTTCTAATTCGAGGTACTTCGATTTCTTGTCTGATGGCATTATCGCCTCCTGCCAATTTTTTTTTTTTTTTTACAAAATATCATCAAGATAAGCAAAAGGGTGAAATCAAATCTTCAGAGACCAAAAGAATGAAGAATTTTTACACACCTTAGTAAACGTTTTCGGGAAAATGTCCTTAAGAATATTGAGGCTACTGTCCCATCTTGGCTGAGTCAGATATATAGTTGTATCGCTGCCAAATCCAAGCTTCCTCAAGAACAATGCGATTTCTTGAGCGTTGTAACAGGTTTTGGATCCCACTGCACCTGTTTCATGGCAATTTTTCTTTTCAAGTATCTCAACTCTCAAGTCTATGGCTATGAAACGGCCACCGGATTTCTTGCTATGTGACTTCAGCCGCTGTATCATAGATTCAACCAGTTCATTCACTCCGGTTTGCAGTTCCAAGGAACCAAACATCGCCAAACAAGAGACAGGGTCGGTTTCAGCATCCCGCGAAGATTTCCTCAGATTCACGGAAGGGAAATAGGTTGTAACTCTTATGTTCCCTTTTGATTTGAAGATGGGATCAATATGTTCCTTGATGTAATCTTCTGCAACTCGAGTAGGAACCTTAACAATGGCGATATCTCTTAGAGATACGTGGCTTGGCAACTTGCTTACAACTTTGACAACACTTTCCAAGCTTTTAACGAGTTTATCCACATCATAGATATCTTCAAAGTTCCTAGTAAATTCATTTAAGTTTGTTCATAAACCTCGGAGAAACAATTAGGCCAAACCAAACCGTGTATCGAAAATACAAAACTACTAACATTTCATCACCAGGTTTGCTTCCTCTTATGTCGGGAAGCACAAGAGTTGCTCCAAGATGCTTCGCCACCATCACGGCATCAGTAATCTAAACAAGATGATAAAGTTGACAAACATGATATTCAGGGACAAGAAACAACCAAAACAAGAAATTGCGAAACTTTAAAGTTTATATTAAAGGATACCTGAGAGACATGGTATTCAGGACCATTCGTTAAGGAGAATGTAACATGACCCTTGGAAGATACCGCTTCATCTGCAACACCAAGCAAGCCAAATCAAAAACCGCAGAGAAGATTTGAAGACAGAAGTGATATGAGGAAAAAAGAAAAAGGCAGGCACAACATACCAGGCTGAGATATTGACCAACAAGGTTTAAGCTCATGGCAATCCTCCATCCAAGGCCCTTTATTTCCTTCAAAGGTTCTAACTAGTCCATCTTCAACCGCTACTTTTGATCCTTGGAACTCAATATCATGTGAATCTCCTTGGATTTTTTCCTGTAAAAGCACAATCACACAAATCACAAAAAGAAGTTAATCGAAGCATTCCAATTGAAGAAGAAGAAAAAAACATAAAAGCTTGAAGCTTTCAAAGATGAATTGAGACGAAAACAGCTGATTCAATCGTTATCTCCAAAGTCTGAGTCTTTATGATCAGTGCAAAACCCACATTCGATCCAACATGAATAAACTTTGGATTTTTTTTAAGGAACCCTAACTAATCATAGGACTCTTACAAATTAGATCTGCGATCCACAAATGACAGACAGAAGAAAATCGATCAGAAGCCCGCTTGAATTTAGCTCAGTCACTATCGCATAAGAGCGGAGACATGTCGGTGAATACCTGAGCAGGATCGAAGTAATCTCTGTGAAGCATTTGCCCCAGCATCACAAACATGGTGATGGTGAGAATTCCAGCCACCACTTGCCTCAAATCCACACCCATTTTCTTCTTCTTCTTCTTCTTCTTCTTCTTCTTCTTCTTCTTCTTCTTCTTCTTCTTCTTCTTCTTCTTCTTCTTCTTCTTCTCTCTCTCTAAAAATGGGTTTTGAAGGGTTTCACGGAAATTGAGGAGAATGAGGAATGGTTAAAAACAAAAGAAGAAAGAAAAAGAGACAAGATTTCACAAATCTGAGTCCATTTTGAAGATTTTGTCAAAAAGATACTTTCTTTTTAAATAATTTTGGGTATTATTGGGTTTAATGGCTGAGAAGCCATAAATAAAAAAAAATTGATCTATCCTGCCATAAACAAGTTTAAGTGCCATAAAGCACATGATATTCCGAAAATACCCTTAATGAAAAAGGGATATGGTATTGCTGATTTTTTGTTTGTTTTTTTATATCGAAAATCAAAAAAAAAATTGAGAAATGAAAATTCTAAAATTCTAATACCAAAACCGAATCTGGTTTCTCTGAATTTCTGGGTTAACATCTTAAACCGAAATCCGAAATCGAAAATCTTTTCCCAGAAATCGTCCGATCGAATCTCCGATCCGTCTTCGTTTATTATCGCTCGGCGCGGTGCGCCGGCCTTCTCTGAACCCATGGTGTTCGCCAAATCTCGTTGCAGAGCCGTCATTTGGTAATAAGGTAACTTCTTCTACAGTTTGGGGATTAGGGTTTAGTAATCGATTTGTCAATTCCGTTCGTTTTAGGTTGCACATTGGATAGTAGAGTGGCGTATATATGTCGATTTAGTCTTCTGAGTGTTAAAATTGAACTTGTTGCCGTTGAATCGAGCTGAATCGTAGGTTTGTATAGTGAATCAGTGAGATATGGGACAACTGGTACAATTAGGTTAACTGAATGGAAAGAGACAACTGGTACAATTGGGTTAACTGAATGGAAAGGGACAACTGGTACAATTGGGGTAGCTGAATGTAATGGGAAAACCTGTACAATTCGGGTAACTAAATGAAATTGGACAACTGGTACAACAGGGTTAACTGAATGGAATTGGACAACTGGTACAATTAGGATAACTGAGTTGAATTGGGTTAACTGAAAGGAATGGGACAACTGGGACAACTGGGACAATTGGGACCCGGAATGTATTGGGACAACTGGTACAAATGGGATAACTGAGTTGAATTGGGTTAACTAAAAGGAATGAGACAACTGGGACAATTGGGACAATTGGGACCCGGAATGTATTGGGACAACTGGTACAATTGGGATAACTGATTGAGATAAGTGGGACAACTGATACAATTGGTACAGTTGTGAGAAAATAGGAAATATTGTTATTCGTTAATGACTTAGTTTTTTTGGTTTTGTGAACAAAAGAGGATGAGCGGCCACACAAACATACATTTTGAGTATGGAGGATGTTATTATAAGGAAAGAGAGGAGTTTAAATGGATATCAAGAAGCTCCATCTATGCTATATCATTTAAAACCTCTTTGGATGAGATAACATATCCGATGGTTGTAGATGGTATATGCAAGAAGATTGGGGTAAACGATAGTAAGAAGAAGCTCAAGTTAAGCTACATTCCGTTGGTAGCTAAGCCACTCAATGAGTCATGTATTGTTGATGATTGTGATGTGTATGTCTATCTAACAATTGTGGATAAAGAGGGACTTAGATCTGTATTGCATGTGGAGATAATGGAAGATTTGGAAAGAGATAAGATTCAAGAGTAATGGAATATTTTCATTATCTTGGATTTCTTGCAATATTATGTATTTTGGAGTAATTTGTAACCTAAAAATTAGGTGCAACCTAAAAATTTACGTCCAAACCCAGGCAAACTACGAACAACTAGGACAACTATTTGTAACTAGGACAAAAGAAGGCACACTAGTATAAAGTGGACAATTGGTACAATTGGGACAACTGTGAGAAACTAGGACAACAAGAACAACTACGACAACTATGACAATTTGGACAACTAGGACAACTAGGACAACTATGATAACCAGGACAAACTAATTTCTTTAAATTACTAAACATTAAACAAATACAGCCCTAAACCCTTAAATACTGTATACTCAACGACTACCACTAAACACTAAAATAAACCCATTATTTTCTGAAAATAAGATATACCATTTGTGTTTCTAATGAAATAACCCTTATGGTATAAGGCATTCTTTGACAATGGTTTCCATCTTATAAGAGGTTAAACGTAAAAATATGGGAAATACAAAAGTATGGGCGCGAAACCCTTGGGGCAAGTATAAAATGTTCAAGGGTTAAGGGGACAACTAAAAAAAGAATGTTCTTCTTAAAGGACAACTGAAAAAACTTAAAAATCGTCCAAAGGACAACTATGACAATTTTGGGACAACCGGACAACTAGGTACAACTATGATGTCAACAGAAAATGCACGTGTGAGAATGGCGGCTGAGGATAATATTATAAGTTATTTTCCTCTGTATTTGTCTTTTTTGGTTGTCGTTTACCGTTTTCTCTTTCATAGAAAAGGGTCAAAGGGTTCTTCTCCTCTTATTCTCTTTCCTAATTGTTGCCCCCAAATAGGTTTTTTAGGGTTTCCACCGCATAATGGATAAATATCAGATAGCCCTCGCGAAATTGGCTGAAAAGAAGAATGATGGCTCTTCTTCTGTCTTGCCTAAGAAGGATTACGGGATGACCACTAGATGGGGACCCGAAGTCAATGGAGTCAAGACCATTCTGCCATGCCCTGTACAAAAGGGAATTCCAAAGGTTTGTTATTGCGGCTTAGCTCCAATTGGGTGTTTAACTGACAACTCCGGGCTTGACAGGGGCCGGAAATATTACGGTTGCTCTACGGCTGTTGTGGTCCAAAAAATTTCCCAGAAGTAAGTCAATTGGGTTTTCAATTTTGATTTATAATTTGAGTCTCATCTGAATTTCTGAGTTTCGGGATTTCAGGTTCCCAGTTGTGGCTTCAAGAAATGGTGGGATCTCGCAATACTCGAAGAAATTGAAATGTTGAATGATACTCAAGAAGCCATGTGGGCTTTGTTTGACACCGTTTTCTCCAAGTTAAATCAGTTAGAGTCAAAGGTGGCATCCATTGAAGAAGCTATAAAAAAGCGTTAAGGATGAAGAAGATGAGCTTTTCAGTTTCTTATTGACCTTTTTTCCCCTTGTTATGTTGCTACTCTCCTTTGATTTATTTTGAACTATTTCTCCTAAATAAAACAACGCAGTTGTACCAGTTGTCCTAATATATCGCATTAAGTTATACGAGTTGTCCTAAATAAAACAAGGAAGTTGTACGAGTTGTCCTAAATAAAACAAGGAAATCTTACCAGCTGTCCTAAACCCTAAACAGAAAACATAAGATTGTACCACAAAGAAAAACACATAATCTTAAACATAAACAAGACATTTTACTTCTTGGCTTCATGTGGTTGGGCTCCTTGAACATGTGAAAAACCCTGGCTGTACTCGGTTGGACCGAAGTAAAGCTTCTCAGGCACCATCAGTTGACTACCATCATCGGCATCCTGAGATAAAAACAAGAAACACAATCATATGAGATTTAGTTGTCCCAGTTATCCCAGTTGTCCCAGTTGTCCAAATGCCAAACGTAATTTTGTGCAAATAGTTGTCCTAGTTGTCCCAGTTGTCCGTACCGGCTGGTTCTGCTTCCTTCAATGGTTCTTCTTCACCCCGAATTTCTTCGTGGGTTGTTTCTTCATCATTCGCCAGAGGGTTTGGTGTTATTCCGGGTTCTTTATCTTTCATATCTGCTTCTTCGCTGCGCTTGGGTACAGATTCGTTCGAATCATATACCACGCCCTTAAGTCGAATTTTAGCTATCTAGTTAGGCTGGATTTAGGGTTTGTCTTGATGAAGTTAGAAGGCTAAATTATGTAATATATAGTACGGGAATTGAAGAAAGGGAAGTTGAAGAAGAAGCAGTTACAAAATCAAGTGTCGTTTCAAGTTAAAGGGGAAATTGCAGAATTTTCGAAAGAAAGAAGGAAGTGGAGATAGCCGTTCGGGGAAGATGAAGAGAGAAAGAGGAGATCGTATTTGATTTTTGGTAAGTTTATCGAATGTGTTTGGTTTTAGAAATTAAATCCATTCGGTTCGGTTTTGTTTACCTAATTTTCGGTTTAATAATTTCAATTTTTTATTTCTGATTTCAATTGATAAAGTTTTTTTTTTTGACAGAAATTCCATTTTTTCTGGGTATTCGGGTCGGACATAAATCGGATGGGTTTTACCTTGGTATTTTTGTAATAAAAAGACACATAGGGAGAAGGGTATAATTTACCTGGTTTTTGTTAATAAAATTAATTCATAAAGAAATTAATTTTTAAAGATATGGTTTATCAGCCAACTTTTTGGTCTCTTATGGCTTTTCAGCCGCGCGCTCCAATTGTCAGTGTTCAAGTCATTGCTTACGCTCTCTCTAAAAACACCCAACACAGCCACCGACACTCTCGCCGTGAATTTTGGTATTTAACTCAACAAGTTGAATCTGACTAAACCGGATACGTGCCGATTTTGGTTTCACTTAAATACGGGTTTGTACCGAACTAATATTAGAAACAGACTCATTTAGGGGGTGTTATTCAATCTGTATGTTGAAATCAACTCCACTAGATTAGAGTATATCAGATTTTAAAAATTTTTAATTCATTTAGAATCTAATGTATATGGGTTGTTTAAAATTTTAAATTACTTAGCAGTGTATTTAGAAAGTTACATGCTATCATTTAAAATCTAATAGAAAAGAATTCTCAAAAAAATTTGTCGAAGTAAAAAATCTCACTAGTCTCTATAAACATGGCAAAGAAATTATCAAAACAAAAATCAGAACAATTGCTAATCCAGAAAGATATTATTTTTTCTTTGATGACTTATGGAGAGAGAGAAGAGAGAGAAATATGTGCTAAATAAAAGAGAGAATAGTGAGAAATTGAGTTTTCATAATAAATGGCTTGTTGACTTATGGAAAGAGAGAATGGAGAGAGAAATGGACTAGGAAAAAAGAAGACGTATGAATAATGAAAAGACAAAATGGAGGGAAAAGAAAAAAAATTGGAGGGATGAAGAATGATGTATTCGATGGATTAATACATGGAGGGAAGAAAGAAAAAAACAAATGTTAATAATTATTTGTATTGAATTTTATAATTATCAAAATCTGAGGGTAAAAGGTTAGATTTTGATTGCTATATTTAACACATAAAAATAGGTTCAAATTCAGTTAAAATCTTTCACTTAAAATCAGTTGTAAGAATCTGTTAAACATGAATAACATAAGATTTTAATTGACTTATTCAACTCTTTAATTGAATAACAATGGATTTCAAACTCTATTAATGAAGAGATTGTTAATACATGAACCAATAACATTGGATTTTGAAGGAGAAATCAAAATCAATTATTGAATAACAATGGATTATAGATGGATTTAAACTCTATTAAAAACCATGATTGAATAACACCCCCTTAGTCATTTGTCTTACCAAGTGGTGGTGTACTGGTGTTGATAAAACAAGACCTGTAAAACTCAAATATAAAAATAATTTCCCTTAATTACCATCTTCTACAATTCAATTTAGTAATAAAATCTTGCATTTCTTTGTTATAAAAATTGACAAGTGCCTAGCCAGTTGCCACCATCATTTACTATTGTAGTCTCTGTTAAGCAAGTTTGCATTTTTGACAAATGGAGTACAACTGAGATTTCTTTCTCTTTGGTTTAAAACTTTAAAGTACCGATTAGATTATCAGATATAGAAAATAAAATCTGAATAAAATGAGCAATTTTGCACAATTGTGTATATTAAGAAAGTTATTCGATTATTTTCTTTTGTACAACAGAATTTTCCACTACTAAGAGCATCTCCAACCCTACCCTATTTCTTCCTTCAAATGCCATTTTGGAGGAAATTCTTCTCCAACCCTACCCCATTTTCACCTGCAAATTTTTTCCTCCAAATATGGAGTAACCCCATTTTCAACTCCATTTTGCAGGTGTACTTTTTTATTTACAAGATAATCCTTTACTTTTCATTAATTCTTAAAACTATATTTTTAAATTATAATTTAATCCTTTATATTATATATATTTAATTTAAAATTAAGGATAGATATATTTAAAATTTGAGAATAGAAAATAAAAAATATAAGAAAATTAACTGAAACTAAAAATAATATAAAATTAAAAATACATAAGAAGTACCGAAATTACAAATAACATAAAATAAATTTATTACAACAACTGATTAATAAAAATATGGTAAACTGCTTCCAGATCCACCAAGATCATTAAAATATTGTCCAAATGAACCAGATTGAGCGGATTTTGCTGAGTTGATAACAGCTGATGTTCCATCATCGATTTTTCTTTTCATTTTAGATTTTTTTATGCCACTTGGTGATATTTAAATTAAAATGGTGATATTTAAATTAAAATATACTTTATATTCTTATTTTAAATGGTGTGTAATGTTATTTTTATATTATAGTGGTTGAATTTAGAATAATATTATAATTTATGAAAGTTTTAAGAGAAAAAAAAATAAATGAATTCATTTGTAATTTTTATAAATAGAGTGCATTATTAGTAATTAACAATAAAATAAAAAGAAAGAATATACTCAGAATATTCTTTTTGGAGTTGAAAATGGAGGAATACATTGGAGAGAAATCCAACTTCATTTTGCAGTTCCCCCATTTTGGAGATAAAAATGGGGGAATACATTGGAGATGCTCTAATAGAAAACCGTCAGACTCCTTAAATTAGTATTGTTTGGAACTTATTTAATTTTAATTTAATTTTTTATTTTTTATCTGTGTTCTGAAATATTTTTTTTTTTGATTGAGTTATTTAATTAGATCTTAAATGATATTTTCACTAAATAAAAAGATTAAAAGTAATGTATTTCTCAAATGTTGTATTTTTAACTAAAATTTTATATCTAATGGAACAGAAGATATATAAATTCCCTATAAATAATTCCACATTTTTCTTAGAAAAAGGAACGATTTAGAATACATTTATTTACACACCAATACGAGTAATAATCAAAACTTTATTACACTCACAAAGTCACAAAATTTGGAGTGTAAACTTGAATAAATTTCTTATTGTAACATACAGAACCTGGTATTAAGCGTTTTGCATTACTGATTTCATGATATAACTAGGTGAATACCCGCACATACGTGTGGGTTTTTATTTTCAACTATTTCAAAAATATATTATTATATTTTCATAAAAATTAATATAATAATGATTTGTTACTTATTTGTATGTTATTATAAATATATTTTAAAATTTAAAATTTTAGAATATATATTAAATATTACTAAGTAATATAGAATTATATAAAAAATTTAAAAAATTTATCAATATTTTAAATTAATTATAACATAAATTTGTATTTAACATTTATATAATGTTATTTAAGAGTTAATTAATAATAAGCCTTTAAATTTTTTTAAATGGTAACTTAATCTTTAAATTTATTAATTATAATTTAAGAGGACAAATATCACTTTCTCCACTGCTGATATGACATTTAGCTAAAGAAAGCTGAGCAACTTAGCTAGAAAAAAAACCCGCATAGACATGCGGATATATTCAAATGATTTTTCTTTGGTCTAATGTTCTATCATTTATGAGATAGTAATTGATTATATTTTATTTATTTGGATATATTCCAATACATATTTGCTACATAGTAACTATTCATACCTTTTGTAATATTGAATGTGACTTGCTTTTCCCTACTTTTCATCTTATTCTTTGTTATGGTTTCTTTCTTTGTTATTTGATTCTTCTGTATTTGTTTGAACTTGACGAAGATCTTTCAATGGGCGAGTTACATTATTCCACAACCTTGAAGGATTGATAACTTTACAATGTATTATCATCGTGACAAATAGTTTTTTTTCAATTGATCTGGGGTAACCCATTGTAATGCTTCTTTCTTTGCTTGATGCCATTCGTTCTCTTTCTCCAATATGTCCACAGCCATATCATTTTAAAAAAAAAAAAATTATATTCCAAGTGAAAGATTTTAGAATTTTCTCATGTTTCAGTGCTTGCCGATTGATGCTTTCCCTCGTCATGTTGTTTTTAAATTGTTTTTTTTTTCATTGTTAATGATTTGTAATATAATCGTTGGTAGGCTTAATTTATTTTGTTTGATAATATATTGTCCTTGTTGATGTGAGACTCTCTTTGTATTTACGTTATATGCCATCAAAATTAAAATTGTTTCCAACCTTTCCCCATCGGTCTTCAATCATCTTTTTCTATCTTCTTCTACCTTCCCTTCACTAAAATTACCCTTGATCAGCATTCAAGTACTGTAATTATCATAACAATCACCTCTCTCGCAGATTTAGTCATACATCTTCTGTGCATCAAGTCTCCACTTTTCAACAAGAATGGTTGATGAATCTAGCAACGTTCCCAATTTTTTCGGCGTCGATGTTTATTCTTAAACAAGCTTGTCCTGAAGGGAGGTGTTCACGTATGACCAAAAGAGCTGAAGTGATAGATTGTGTTGATTTGAGTTTGTCGTAGATATTTTGACGTCTTCGTGCTTCTGTAGTTAATAGCTCACCTGTAAGAAGAGAAAACAACAATCAGCTTTTGACTTATGCATAAACCTGTCTAAACTGAATCCAAAAACTCTCACGTGATGTACAAAATGACCAGTAAGACAGATCACATAAACACATTCATGTAAAAAGATTTGCTGTTATCTTTAGTCTCCACAAGATCAAATCTTACACAATAATTTTTAGTGGATATTACTAAATAATAATTCTAAAATGTCATCCCAATGCTCCGACCTAAATCTTCAAACTCATATGCTTTCGAACTTAATGCCTAATAACTAATGCTAATGTGATATGCCAAGAAGAGCTTACTTCAGGAAAGCAAAGAAGACTGTTGCTGAGCTGGAATAGAGATGCAGAGCTGGACCAATCGGAGATGAAGAGCTTACTTTAGTAGTCTCTCAACATGGTTTTCAAATGAGCATCCAGAACGCTTCCAGCTTCTGTTGAGCTTTCTCCTGTTATTTACACCAATATTCCACATGTATGAGAGATAGGATGATCAAATAACTTCTACTTTAGTTCTCGTATGGTGGTAATAGATACAGATCATGTAATTTGAGAATCAAATAGACCTTTCAAAGTAAATGACTTTTCGGACTTACCATCGGTGTACAACTTTGCTACCCCTTTCTCTGCTTCTTCTTTAGATAGAGGGTGTATAGTTTGGTCTCTCAGTGTCCTTAAACATGTATAAGGCCAGTAAGGGGGAAGAAAATATGCCATTCCCTAATCCAAATTCTTTGATATCCAATGATGGTTTGTCAAGTCTTCCACATACAGTGGACCAGATATGTCTTTCCACTACCATTTAGACCTGAGATATTTGCTAGCCATCAATTTCTAAACAGGGGTAATGATATCCACCCCAGAAAAGGAAAGTTGATCTTGAGAATCGAAAACGACACCAACATTACTATGCTTAAACAGTTCCAATATATATGATCAACCCAAGTACAGACTGTCTATATGGAAAGAGTGCGTGAACGTATAGTACACAAAGCACCAAGACTTAGTAACGCCTTGTTAAAGTTTGAACCTATAAATGTCGTAGTACCTGACTGGAAAGCATCCAAAAATTCATCGAGCTCAAAAGTTCTATTTACCAGCAGAGAGCTCAAGGGACTTCTTCTGTAATTCAAGAATATCACCAAACACCACAAGCTTTGTGAGAAACAGAAGCTAGATACCGAAATGCATGTGCTAATTCAACTGGTATCAAAGGCATCATGTAAGAATATGTTATAAACCCTACAACAAGTTGCAAGCAATAACATCGGCCACAGAACCGTAAAACTCAACTACATAATTAAAAACCTCGACGACTTTACTTAACAAGCCTGATTCAGCATACGCGTGAAGAACATGGCAACCAAGAAAATATTCAATCATGACGAAAGCACGACCACAAATCCTATTCCACCCAATGAAGCAATCCAAAGGTCAGTAAATTATATTCCACATTTCTAACATTTATTAGAATATGATCAATACCAACATTAGTATGCTTAAACAGTTGATTTAACTCCAAATACGAAGACAATGGTGGTAGAACTCTAGATAATCCTATACTTGACCTCAAAGACCTTTGCCAAGTAAATTAAATGCTACAATTTGTAGGAGAAAGAACCCTAATGCTTATACCTCAGAAATTATCTGACACGCCCTGAACCTAGCGTTTCTATTTACATCCACAGAACCAGTAATTAGAAACTTGAGAAATTTATCTAAAAAAATCGTCCCAATCAAAATCAACATCTGAATTACTACGCAGACAAGCAAATTCCGCCACGAAATGGACAATACGCTTCGCTGCTGCGGTTGAGCTGCAATGAAAAGAATGGTTAGGGTTTTAAAAAATCGCTAAGAGAATCAATGAATGGAAGACGGCTCAACATCAGACTCAGACAAAGATAGTTTCGACCTGATTGTGGCAAGCTCCTACAGCGTCCAGTTATGAGTAGCGTAGATTTTTCCGATGTAAGTGCTCTATATAAATATGGGTCTTGAGTCCTTCTCGCTGGGTTCCTATACTCTCGTTCATCTGATAGCAAATTTATGATTATTGGGAACTTGAGCAGTCGAGAAGAGAGGCAGATGCAAAGATGGGAAAAAGTTAGGGGAGATGAAAAGAAAGAAACGAAATGAAATCGTAACTAAAGGAATCTTGTGAAAACTTAGAAACTTTATTAATCATTGGAATGTATATATAAAGTACATAGGGAATCTAGGTTAAGTACAATGCCCTGATGGGCCTAATGGGCCGGTATAAGAGTCCATATATGATATGTGTTATAACACTCCCCCTTGGACGAGTGAACCGGGTCAGCTACTCAATCGGGATCTCGATAATGCGCTGGGGAATGTTGCCTCATTAAAACCTTACCAGGAAAAACCCAGTGGGACAAAACCATGGTGAAGGAAAAAGAGTACAACACGCATTACTCCCCCTGATTGTAGCATCACTGCAGATCTCTAAGTCTATACATTCCTATCTGTTTGACGAGCTTCCGGTGTATTGAAGTAGGCAATGATTTGGTGAAGAGGTCAGCTGAATTCTCACTGGATCGGACCTGCTGAACGCTGAGAGTGCCGTCCTTCTGCCAGTCTGAGGTTGAGAAGAACTTCGGTAGAATGTGCTTCGTCCGATCTCCTTTGATATATCCTTCCTTGAGCTGAGCTATGCATGCCGCGTTGTCTTCATACATCACCGTGGGCTGTGTGTCTTCGTCCATACCACAATCTCTGCGGATGTGCTGAGTCATGGAGCGCAGCCAGACGCATTCCCTACTAGCCTCATGAATGGCTAGGATTTCAGCATGGTTTGATGAAGTGGCAGTGAGTGTCTGCTTCATTGATCTCCAAGAGATGGCTGTTCCTCCATGCGTAAAAACGTAGCCAGTTTGAGACTTGGCAGTGTGCGGATCTGATAGATATCCTGCATCGGCGAAGCCGACTAACCCATCTTTATTTTGGTTAGTATAGAAGAGTCCTAAGTCTTGAGTACCTCGAAGGTATCTTAGGAGATGTTTTATACCGTTCCAGTGCCTCTGAGTTGGAGATGAACTATATCGAGCGAGGAGGTTCACGGCGAAACATATGTCTGGTCTAGTGTGACTAGCCAGGTACATTAACGCTCCTACAACACTGAGGTATGGCTTTTCAGGACCAAGGATTTCTTCATCATCCTTTTTGGGACCAAGAGGGTCATCACTTAAGCTTCTAACTACCATTGGGCTGGTCAATGGGTGAGCTTGGTCCATATTAAATCGCTTGAGTACCTTTTCGATATAAGCCGATTGATGCACAAGGATTCCTCCTTTGATGTACTCAAGTTGTAATCCCAAACAGTACTTTGTTTTGCCTAGGTCTTTCATTTCGAATTCTGCTTTTAAGCAGTCGACTGTTTGGGAGATCTCACCAGATGTTCCGAGGATGTTTAGATCATCCACGTATACTGCTATGATTACAAATCCTTTGTTTGAGTACTTCTTGATGAAGATGCATGGACTGATGGGGTCATTTTTGTAGCCTTCTTTGATGAGGTAATCGCTGAGGCGGTTGTACCACATACGCCCACTTTGTTTCAGTCCATACAAGGATTTGTTCAGCCTGATGCAGTATTGATCTCGAGATGCATTTTTGTCTTTTAGTTCAATGCCATCTGGGAGTCTCATATATATTTCGTTGTCCAGGGGCCCATAGAGATATGCGGTTACAACATCCATTAACCGCAGATCAAGATTTTCTCTTATGGCCAGACTTATGAGGAATCGGAATGTTGTTGCATCCACCACTGGAGAATAAGTCTCCTCATAATCGATTCCGGGTCTCTGTGAGAATCCTTGTGCTACAAGCCGTGCTTTGTATCGAACGACTTCACCGAGTTCGTTCCTTTTGCGCACAAAGACCCATTTGTGGCCCACTGGCTTGATGTGTGATGGGGTCCGGATGATCGGACCGAACACGTTTCTGAGTTTGAGACTCTTTAACTCCACGTTTATGGCTTCTTTCCATTTTAGCCAATCTGTTCGATGTGTACACTGTGTTATTGACGTGGGTTCTAGATCCTCTTGCGTGAGCGCAACATCAAGTGCTACTTTGTATGCAAAGAGTGCATTTAAGTCGACTTCTTTTCGATTCCATTGTATTCCGGACATATTGTAATTGATGGAGATCTCATTGTTATCTTCTGAACCTGGAGATTCGGCGTCCCGAACTTCTATTGAGGGTTCATTAGATTGAGTCTCAGCCGCGGCTATGTCTGATATTGCAGGAATCCCGGTTTCGGTTATTGCACCTTTCTTTGATTTCCGGGGATTCTTATCTTTGGAACCGAGAGGTCTGCCCCGTTTGAGACGTGGTGCAGACTCTGTAGCAACTTGGGTCTGTCCCGTTGGGACAGCTATTCGTACTGGTGCATTACAAGCTGGGATGTACGATTTGGTTACTTTGGTCGGGTCAGCAAAGGAATCTGGCAATTGATTAGCTAGCTTTTGATAATGAATAATCTTTTGGATCTCTGAATCACATTCTAGAGTCCGAGGATCTTGCCAATTTAATGATGTTTGATTCCATGAAAGATCTTTGACCAGCTTGTTTGTCTCACCACCTAAAGAGGGATATACCGATTCATCGAATTGGCAATCCACATATCTGGCCTTGAAGAGATCTCCAGTGGTTGGCTCGAGATATCTTATGATGGTGGGAGAGTCAAAACCAACATATATTCCCATCCTTCTTTGAGGTCCCATTTTGGTTCGATGTGGTGGAGCAATGGGTACATATACTGAACACCCAAATGTTTTGAGATGGGAGATGTCTGGCTCATGACCCGAGAGTAGTTGGGATGGGGAATATTTGTGTTCACTAGATGGCCGGATGCGTATGAGTTCAGCAGCATATAATACTGCATGTCCCCATGCTGAGGCCGGGAGCTTTGATCTCATGAGTAATGGTCGGGCTATCCATTGAATGCGTTTAATGAATGATTCAGCCAATCCATTTTGAGTATGGACATGTGCTACATGATGTTCCACGGTTACCCCCATGGCCATACAGTAGTCATTAAACGCTTGTGAGGTAAATTCACCAGCATTGTCAAGGCGGATAGTCTTTAGTGGCCAAGAACCTAGCGAAGGCTTGGTTCCGAGAGGACAAGAGACAAACATATGACCAACGGGTCGATGCGTCTATAAGGACCATGAAGTACCGGAATGGTCCGGAAGATGGATGTATAGGTCCACAGATATCGCCCTGGATTCTTTCTAGGAAATGAAGTGTTTGTTTAGAGATTTTAACTGGTGAAGGCCGAGTGATCAATTTGCCTTGAGAACAAGCTGTGCACATGAGGTGTTGAGGATAAGCTCAGTTTTCTTTGAGGGTATGCCCTTGAGAGTTTTGAATTAGTTTACGCATCATATTTGCACCGGGATGACCGAGCCGGTCGTGCCAAATAGTATAATCAGTAAACCGGGCTTTGAGAGTGGTATTAGCTTCAATCATACTGACTTTAGCATGGTAAAGTCCAGTAGAGAGCGCGGGTATGGTTTCGAGGATTTGTTTATGGCCGTCTACGGTTTTAGTGACTAGGAGGGATTCTTTGTTCCCTTGACCTTGGGTTTCTATGTGGAAACCATTCTGTCTTATATCCTTGAAGCTCAGAAGATTTCTCTTCGAACTAGGAGAATATAGAGCATCTGGTATTTCAAGTTGTGTGCCATTTGATAGCAACACATAGGCATGGCCATATCCTTCGATAAGGTTTGAGGGACCCGCGATGGTGCTAATATTTGTGGTTTGATAGGTTAGGTTTATGAAGTAACTTTTGTTTCTTAAGATAGTGTGGCTGGATCCACTATCTACGACTATGGTTTCCATTTGCTGGTGTGCTTCATTATGAATAGAAGATAGAATTCAGTATTGAGGAATTCAGAAAATGTGATAAATCATAAAGTAAAGCAGTGTCTGAGAATAAAGGCAAATGGAAAAAAAAAAAAAAAAAAATGAAACAAATCCCAAAATGAAAAAAAAATAAAGAACAAAATCAAATTGTATCAGAGTTTCAGATGATTGAATTAATCGAGGAGATCAGCTGTTTCATAGTCCATGGGGTCGGTCTGCTCGTTTGTGGTGTTCTCATCATCAAAGAGGTCGTCACCTTCCAGGTTAGCAGCATCGACTGGCTGAGTCATGTTGGCTTCAGCAGGAGCTTTTCCGTACTTCTGGTATAGATCGCAGTGGATCTTGGGGGTGCGACATTGCTTTGTTGGGTGGTTGAACATCCCACATCTGGTACAAGCAGAGTGATCGGGGTTGGTGTGGCGGGTCGGCTTGGTGATGCCTCGACCACGACCAGGACCATAACTGAGGTTAGGTCGGTTGCCACGACCATGTCCGCGTCCACGTCTTCCACGTCCATGTCCTCGGCCATTACCACGTCCATTACCACGTCCACGGCGGTGATCTGAGGATCTATCGGGTTGAACATGGTAGGACTCTTGACGAGAAGCTGGGACAGGAGCCGATCCCGGGGGCCTCATAGCGCTGTTCCTCATAAGCAGCTGGTTATTCTTCTCAGCGAGGAGAAGACAGGACAACAAGTCTTCGTACAATGTGTGTTTCATTGCACGGTATTGTTGTTGGAGCACAACATTCTCTATGCTGAATGTGGATAATGTTTTCTCGAGGAGATCATTATCTGTCACATCCTCGCCACAGAGTTTCCGGATGGCAACAATACGAAAGAGTTCGTTGTTGTAATCATCTACGGATTTGTAGTCCTGGAACCGAAGGTTCTTCCAGTCGAAATCTGCCTGAGGCAACTGGACCATTTTCTGATGGTCATATCGCTTTTTCAGCGCTTGCCACAATTCAAGTGGATTCTCAAGAGTGAGATATTGCTGCTTAAGGCTCGAGGCCAGATGATGGCGTATGTGACATATCGCCTGAGACTGTCCCTTACGGGATGCGGTGTTACCGTCGGTAATACACGCATCGAGTTCTTTCGATGCATGGAACAAGCGCATGTCTAGGGCCCACTCGAGGTAGTTATCCCTGGAGACGTGAAGGGCCTCGAATTCACATTTCTGAATGTTTGACATCTGAAACATGAGATTGATTTTGTTAGGGATTGTTTTGAGAAAATTTTGAATGCT